ATAGCAGTACATGAGAGCAAAGAAAGGCTCGAAAATGGTCAAAAGAAATTATACAGCTACCTGAATCGAAACTTGCTATAAAAATACTATATATGAGAAACTGGTTCCTTTGCAAGTAGTATTCAGGTAGGTCTTGCATTATTGAATTGCCAATAAAATGGTGCATTTTATACGAATACGAAATTTAGCCTATGGCATAAAGAGATTACACGAGAAATATATAGGTACGTATGTTACATTCGAGAACTTGCGAATAATTTGGTGTCCCAAAAATATGCAATAACTGTGTTACACACGAGATATAATTATTACGAGGCCAATTTCCATTCACAGCAAAATGTCGCGAGATCAACTTTTTCAGCGATCACTTTCTTTTGAAATGCGTTCATTCAACCTCATCCGTTGCGTTTGATTGCTTGTATTTCAAAAGAAAGTGATCGCAAAATGTCGATCGCGCGACATTTTGCACTGAATGAAAATCCGCCTTTAGAATGGCCTAGAATGCATCGAAAATTCAACCTAAACGTTTGAATTCTGACACTATGATTATTATACCTTGGCCTTATGGTTATTCGTCAAACCTGCCGACTTAAGCGGCCTTAAAAGCTCGTTTACACTTGCAATTTTGCTGCAAGTTTAGGTGCGCAGTTTCTTGTTCTGATGGATGTGAACAAATTATGAATATTCAGATGAGGATACATGTACTACTCAGAACATTCGTAATTCATCTACTCATTCACATGCATCAGAAGGAGAAAATCGCGCTAGCAATCGCAGCAAAAATTGGAAAAGTAAACGGGTCTTAACACATTTTAAAGCAGCCATAACATTGCTTCTGCTAGCCCATTTTACTATTAATAGTCTTAAGCCTGCCTTACACTAGCAACGTTTCTGTGACCACAGTAGGAATTTTGCATAGGTAAATTCTACGTTTTGAAGGATTTGTAAGAAATTATGCTTGTGATGTTACTCTGAGTGTATATCCACACCGGGCAAGCTTAAAAAAATATGCCTGGCCACGGTGGGAATCCAACCTACGACCTTTGGAATACTAGCCCAATGCTCTGCCAATGAGCTACGCGGTCTGGTCGGTTCGAGTATGTGATATTTCGGAACAGAATCTAGTTCCTTCGATATCAATGTTATCTAATAATAATCAAGTTGGCAGAGCATTGGGCTAGTATTCCAAAGGTCGTAGGTTCGATTCCCACCGTGGTCAGGCATATTTTGCAAGCTTGCCCGGTGTGGATATACACTCAGAGTAACATCACAAGCATCATATTCACCTGAGTACATTACACCAACACAGAAAAAAATCATGATTGTAAGAAATGTTTGAGGGGCTGACTTAGTATTAAACACGGAGTTCCCTCAAACATTTCTTATACAAATCCTTCAAAACTTAGAATTTACAAATGTGAAATTTCTCCTGTGATCACAGATGCAGCCTTTAGTTAATGAAATTCATCTCTATAGGATTGACTTTCTGATGCCTAGGCCACTATCTGTGCAAAAATCTGGAATACAGAGACCCTACAGATATTTCATTAGTATTTAGTTTAAGAGGATCACATGAATGTCGTGCACTTTATTAAATTAAACTTATGAAAGCGCATTTTCAAATAATTATATCTGCAAAAATATGACCATAGGAAGCCCCAAATAGCGTGGAAAAGTTTTGAAAGCTCGCGCATGAAAATCTTTCACGCTCAAGCGTGGCGCGTGCATCTACGATACTTATTTATTTTCATGACATAATAATAAACATAGTAGACTCGTGTATATGCACGCGCGAGCGTGATAGATTTTCACACGCGAGCTTTCAAAACTTTTCCAAGCTATGACACTATATAAAAGAGACAAATATCACGCATTTTTGAGCACGTCTCTCTATATCACGTCCATTAGTTTAGCAAAAGCCCGGATGTGAGATAGAACATCACGTCATCGTATCCAGCGACTTGGGTGATACGACGCTAAATGCAGCTGTTCATTTTAAAATGAAAATAATTACTCTGCATGAACATTTCTATTTTTTGAAACAATAAACCAATCACTTTCCAAAGGATTATCTCCACATATACACACCGCGTCTGAGCACAGCAAATACTCTGTCTTTCTTTGTGAAAATACCGTGTGGAACAGCTGAAATACGTTTGAATTATACACATCAACACTCAGGAGAGGCTCTGTAAACCACTTCACTTCAAGTGCTTTGTGCTCTCAACATTTCGTTTTTGCAAAATTACAAAAGTGAACCGCTCATGCAATGTATAATAATAGCTCTTATCAAATTGTCGTTAATAGATAAAACATTTTTACATCTGACTTCTCTGCATCTCAAACACTCAAATGCATAAAGCTTTAAATAAACGATTGTGATCACAGCAGGAATTTTGCATCAGCAATTTCTAAGTTTTGAAGGATTGTAAGAAATGTTTGAAGGAAATGATTCAGTGTTAAACACTAAGTAAGTTTCCTCAAACATTTCTTACAAATCCTTCAAAACTTAGAATTTACCTAGATGCAAAATTCCTGCTGTGATCACAGAAATTTTGATAGTGTGAACCAGGTTTAGTTAAGGTTTTCTAATGCGAATACTGCAGTAGATAGAATATTTAGGATCATGAATAATGTGGGCAATATTCAAGGATACGTATATAATATGAATATTCGTTAATTATGCGTTTGCAAGAGAAATTAATATTACTATAGCGACCTGTACATGTCGTCGGCATGTTTCAATCAAACGTGTCGGCGCGACGAGCCAGCTGCTTCGTGCACAAAGTACATGCCGTGTTCTTACTTAGAGTAGATCGTGAGAGTGAACTCCATATATATATAGCTGGAGCAACAACCTCAGAGCCCAAAAAGCGAAGATGGTGGAAATTGAAGAGGTATTCGACATCAGTCCCTTTCTATTGTTTGCAGAAATTTCGTATTTTGACATCGATTTAAAGAATAACACTGTGGTTTTATCAACTGATAACTTGTTTGGCGATAAGATCCGTTGGAAAATACTGGAATTAGCCTTATCCCAAAAGAGATCGCAGTGCGTTCTGGGATCGTTTGGAGGGACAAAATATATGGTGACAGGCGTCAAATATGTGTTAGAGTAGAAGTATCTACTATCAAATATCAACTTTTTAGACAACGAAAAATGACATATCTTCTTTTTACATTAAACATTTAATTTGAATGTGCGCTGCCATATTTCTTGTCCCTCCAACATGGGATTTGCACGATTAGACCCAGGACTTTGGGAAATGGCTAATTAGCTGGGACTGAAATGGTATAAAAGCTGTTTACGACTTTCGTAGCTATTGGATATTTGGATGTCATCATGTCAATGGCCGCCATCTTGGCTGCACATTTTTCATAAGCCGAATGAAGTTCTTGCTCCAGAGTACTAGACCGTGGAACGAAGAAGGCGCGATGCGAAGGACTGGTAACGAACCTACCGAAGTGTAAAACAATGGCAATTGCTAGATAGTATACTTCAAAATAAGGTTTCCGTTTTTATATCAATTTTTAAAATAATTAAAATAAGTTCGGGTTAGGTTAGGTTAGGGTTCAGGTTGGGGTTATAGGGTGAGGGTTAGTATTAGGGTTTAGTTTTGCGTTAGGATAGTTTTTTCTACGTTATAAAAACGGAAACCTTATTTTGAAGTATACTATCTAGCGATCACCGTAAAACAATAGACTACTTAATTAAGAATCATGTTAAAGTATATCACTACTTATAAATAATTAACAAAAGTTAAAAAAGCAAAGCTGTTTGGCGCATTTTCTTCAGCCTACAAAAATGTTTGGAGTTCGAAAATTGATCCAGCAAAATTTTTAAAAGTTTCTTAATAACTCGTGAATGAAATGGCTATAGTATTTTTCAAGTTGATGTGAAGTTCAAGACTTCGTGCATAAAAGACAGTATATCCAACGCTCAACTGTTGGACGTTTCTAAAACGTTTTAACACGAGCCTTACATTTACACACTGTTCATTTCGGGGAGTTGATTGGATTCGCAATGGGGTTGTTGTGGACTAAATCTAACTCCAAACGTCGAGTGGAAATGGGTTCAAAATGGCTCCGCTGGACCTGGACTCCCTGAAATTGACAGGGCATGCATGTAAGATACGACGATTTTGTCTTTCTATTACTGCAAATTCACACGGCCAATGAAAACAGTGCGTACTGGAATTACAATGGTCACGGTGTCAAAAGATTATTATATAAATAAACTTGATTTTAAATATGCAACCAAGTGAAGACATTAAAGGACCTTTATTTAAAAAATAGAGTTTTGCATTATGAATGAGTACCACTGATGGCTAGAATTTATGCATGCGCTTAGCTTTCTATAATCATAAAGCTTTCAAAACTAAACTAAGATACCGTTAAAGAAAACAATATATGGCGAATGTGTATAAATGAACGGCCCCATGTTTTAAAACTCATAAATATATTTATGGTGCAGAAAAACAGTCGGTTAAAACGAGACACAATATAGATAATATAGCATTTGCAAATAAGCCGAATAAATAAGTACTAAAGTATACTTTATGTTGAATGCATGATTATGTTCTATAGTTTGGACTTACTACTTTACATACTTTTATAGCACAATTGTTTCATAAAATATGACAATCACTAACAAACGCAGTAAAACAAACAAAAATATTAACCGCTATAGGTTTTAGTGATTCTATCTAGTAAGATGAAAGATGACATGCAATGTTGGTATTTATTAATTTTGCATTGCGTTATTTAATCGATTCGTAATACTCTTATAACAGCCTGAGCGCAGTGCGCGTCAGCCAATGACGTTTGTTAAATACAGATGGCCACGCGTTTCGACATGCAAATGCGATACAAGCTCGACTCAAATGCGTTTGCCGAAGACTATATTTGACGGAATAAGTTTCAAACGACAAGTACTCAACTTATATAGTCTTCAAATCTTGCTAAAATCTTGTTGAATCTTGCAAAAACAAAGCCTCGAAATGTTGACATCTTGTAGTGACTTTGAGTCGGTAAGTTTGTTTTCTACGTTGTTCTCTGTTTGTCAGCTTGGGTAGGAAAATAAATAAAGAGCACTGTTTTACCAGTGGATTAACATGACTACAGGTATAAGGACAAGACCGAAGCAAATACTTTAAAGAACAGTGTTTCAACAACTGCATTTTAAAGGGAACAACAAATAAAATTATACGAGTAATTTATATTAATAAAGGTCGATTTATGCACTACGCAACTTTTGCCTAAACTAATGAGTTGTTCTACTGTGTAAATGAAGGACACAACTCGGCTGTACAACTCAAGTTGTGAGCAGGGTTGCATGCGACAGTTTTAGGCAAAAGTTGTGTAGTGTAAATCGAACTTAAAGAGGGTTAGTATACTCTATATTTTACAATAGATATCAAGGGAATAGACCCTTATCGGTCCACTCGACCAATCACGTTATCGAGTTATGTCGGGAGAGCAATATCTGCAGACATGCACAAGCATATAGATTATTAAATATTATGTAAAAATATGAGAGTAATAAAAGAAAGACGGCTTCGGATTATAGGAATTCAACTACATGAAAAATACAAGGAGAACTTCAAAGTAGAAATACAAAAGAGATTCTCCTTGCGTTTTTTCAGGTATAGTTATATACCGACATTTTCTTATTATTGCCACGACTTTCACTGACACAGATAGTTCAGTAGAAAACCTAACACTGTTTTATCACTTCGCCTCAAGATTTGCATATTGAGGAAGTGTGCTGTACCAATTAAGCAAAGGTCCTATGTTATCCAACTACGTTATATTAAGTGCACAAAATGTTAATCATCATCTCAGCTTGAATCCGGCTTGAAATAGCGGGCGGCCTGGTACGGGTCAATAACTTGCCTTGTCGGACATTGTATTGTACAGTTTATTTAAACACGGTAAAATCTTCAGTATATAGATACTCTAACGTATACAAACATATATACAGTAACAAAAAATCTAAAACTAAGTCTACTGCTGTTTTACAAGATTGGTGGGAGTTTCAATTGTTATAGTACTCATTTATAGCTTTCTTAAACTGTGATATCGACACGAAGTGACTTAAGGTAACTCTTGTCACACCGTAATTATTTGACAATGGATTGTTGTGTTTCTACAGGGTGGATATAAAAAACAGGGGTCGGTTGTATAAAACTCTTAATCACTTTTTTAATCACTATTTTGTAGTTAAATAGTGATTAACTCTCAAATACGCGTTTCTTATTGGATGACGTTTCCACTAACTACAGTTAACTTTAATCACTTTTTTATACAACCGGCCCCAGGATTCTGAGCATTTATACTCAATTTCAAAAACTCATTAATAATTCATGAAGCAATTATCCAATCTTGAGTAAGAAATTAGTCACGTGCATACGTCTTTATACCAGCTAAAGAACACTTTAACAAAAGACCATTGTTATGCAAACTATATAAAGATTTTTATATAAAGATTTTTATATAAAGATTTTTATATAAAGATTGACTTATTATGCAAACGTTTTTGAAGCCATTTAAAAAACTCGCAGGTCGTGTTTTATTAGGTCTAAAGCCACTCGCGCTGCGCGCTCGTGGCTTTAAACCTAATAAAACACTCCTGCTCGTTTTTTAAATAGTACGTAACTCATTGTATGGAAGGGTTTTGTAGATTGAGATTTCGAGTGAGAATTTTAGACATTTACTAGATCTAACCAGAAACAGTTGTGAAAAATACAACTATAAAGCCTCTGGTAGGAATCGAACTTGTGACCCTGTGATTCCAGTGCAGTGCTCTACCTGTATAGCTCAGTTATCCATCCGTAACCTTCGTATTGCCAATACCGACACTGGCACAAACAAGATTTTCTCATAAATCAAGAACTAACATATTGGGCAATACTACTTTCTGTGGGTGACCAATATCAGCGCAATTTAAAACATATTAGTCTAGAGATTTCGCTTTTAGATTATAAATTAACATACAATTCTAAGATCTATATTCACGTCTGTGCGTGTGATAAACTAAAACCATACAAGTTTTTTTATACAGATTAAAGTCAAAACCAAACCACGAATGTGGTGTCTGAGCAGAAAACATGTCATATTTAATGAAATGAACAAACATATCATCTCAATTCAAATCACTTGCACTCGGAGGCCAAATGCGACATGTGGATTAAGCTAGGCTGATTTAATACACTATCAAAGTTTCTGTGATCACAGTAGGAATTTTGCATAGGGAAATTCTAAGTTTTGAAGGATTTGTAAGAAATGTTTGAGGGAAATGACTTAGTATTTAACACTGAGTCATTTCCCTCAAAACATTTCTTACAAATCCTTCAAAACGTAGAATTTACGCATGCAAAATTCCTACTGTGATCACATAAACTTTGATATATAGTGTAAACACCCAGCCTTTAGGTAAACTCTTGGTCTCGGAGAAAGCTTAATTATTTGATAACCAAGTGCTCGGTTTGTCTCTATAGTCAATTTTGTAATCAAGAACTAACTGGAATTCTTCTTGCGGGTGATATATAGCTGATATGGGTGACCAATATAACTCATATAATAATTATTTAAACATATCGGGCCTATAGAGATTGTAAATTAACATAAAATGCCAAGATATATATTGACACATGTACGATAAACGAAGGGATCATCTAAAGACCGGATGCTGTAAAGTGCAGCAGTAAAAAACACGAGCTAATGTCTATAGAACGACTATATGTACAGACAGTCATTTGTCTAACAACAAAATAACATTGTTTATATATAATAGCAAAAACAACGTAATTCCTGATACATAAACTGTCCATGATATTTTAAATAATAAATCAAGTTTGAATTTATTAATTAACATATGCATGAATTACATGCGAATGACGTTTTGTGATAAGATAAGCAATATATAAGCATCATTCATCACCTAAATCTCGCTGCACAAGAAATTGAAGTATATATTACTTATAAGAAAGAGACATGATTGTAAACCAGTTCTCAAAATCAAAGGTAAATAAATAGATTATAAATTCAGCTAAGCTTAGTTAAAATTTTAAAGTAAATTATATGGGCAGAGTAATTATTTTACAAAAACATAATTGTTCTTCGATAATTATCTTGCAGAGCGCACAACTAAGAAATTCAATATATCATGTAATTCATGTTTTGTTCAAATTCGCAAGGCCGGCTGCATGCGTCAGTATACAAATTTGACTTTGTTTATACACAATTGACAAGCATATAATAAAACAAAAGGTCACTAAATTATCTACACGAGTGAGTAACTCTTGTACATAATTTTAATACTTAAGTTACCATTGTTCTATTCTATGCTTTTGTAAACTAGAACAATTTAGTAACTATAATATACAGGGTGTCTCAAAAAAACCCAAAATCATTGAAATTGACGTATTGTTCGATATTCAATGCCCTAGCACTAAGTTAATCCCACGAGTGCATAAAAGATTGACATAACTGCTATAATGAATGGTAATACTCAGCGTAAACTTGTTATGTCAGGCATAAAGTACTAAACCCACGAATGCATATTACGCATATTACAATTTACGAAGCATTTTTAAATTCCCATGACCAAACAAACGTTCACTTTACAAAGATATTTTAATTTTTTAAAACAAATTAATCACCCTGTCAAAATCCTTTGTGTTACGGCATTGAAATTCGAACAATACGTTATTTCAATGATTTTGGGTTTTTTTGAGACACCCTGTATATAGGCATGCATGTGAGTTATCTTTTAAGCTTAAAAGCTTGGTTTCCACTATCAAAGTTTCTGTGATCACAGCAGGAATTTTGCATGGGTAAATTCTAAGTTTTGAAGAATTTGTAAGAAATGTTTGAGGGAACTGGCTTAGTGTTTAACTCTGAGTCCTCAAACATTTCTTACAAATCCTTCAAAACTTAGAATTTCCCCATGCAAAATTCCTACTGTGATCACAGAAACTTTGATAGTGTCAATCAGACTTGAAGATAAACATTGTTAGCCAAATTATGTAGAATAGACAATCTGTCAGAAACCGTAACCTCAAAACAGCCACATGTCAGAGTATTGAGAAGTTTCGTCCGAAAGGTTTTCCCCTGCCTACGGACTATGTTATTGATTATTTATTTACACAAATATTTCCTTCTTCAGCTGTTCGAGGGTGACAAGGAGATGGAGAGAAAATCCAAAGATGATGGGCATGGTCATGGTCGGATCACCATTAATGTCGGAGGATTACGTCATGAAACATACTTAACCACCTTAAGAAATCATCCTGATACAAGGTAATCACGAATGGCGTCATCAAGGTTTTTGCTATCTCTCTCTCTCTACTATTATATTGTTTTCAACTTGCTTTCTCCGTTTATCGCTCATTTCATATATAAGCCTTCCTAGGCATCCAATTACAATCATCATGACAATATAGCCTTGTCTTCTCCTCCCGTATCTCGCCAGTTGTTGGTCTATTTTCTTCATCCTGCTTTGCATCATAGTCAATAGAATAAGAATGTTAGGGAACTCGATGCAGACATAAAATACCTCATTATCTATGTTTTTGTCGTTTTTCTCTTGGTTTATACAAGAAATAGTCGGTTCATCGTCACGTGTGTATTGTTTTTTCGCCCAACCAACCAATAGCAGTGTGTTGGTTTAATTACCCAGTCGTGATATTACACAATGGTTTAATGAAAATGCAGCTATTGGTTGCTCTAGTGAAAATACAACACACACGTGACGATGAACCAACCATTTCTCGCATAAACGAAGACGAAAACATAGACAATGAGGCGTACTATGTCTGCATCGAGTTCCCTAACTTTCTTATTCTATTGAGTATGGTTCAACATATCGTTGTAAACATTCATGTCTCTTGCAGATTATTCTGGATAAGTGAACAACATTATACGTCGACGCGAAGTCCAGAATACAGTGCGGAGAAAAAGGAATATTTCTTCGACCGTCACCCGGGAGTGTTTGCCCACATTGTCAATTATTACCGCACAGGAAAGTTACATTGTCCCATGGATGTGTGTGGACCTCTCTTCGAGGAAGAATTATCTTTCTGGGGAATTGATGAACGCCAGGTAAACACTTTGTTTGTTAGAAAATTGCGAGATGTTGGTTACTTTTCTTGCTGTGTTCCAGTATTTCTCAAGTTGACTACCATCCACCGAAAGGTTCAATCAAACCCACCAATATCTTCGGTATCAATCTCCTCTTTTCAAAGTTCTCACGTAGAAAACCATATTTCATCATGTGACCTCAAACAGGGCAGGAAAAAAGAATTTTCTTCCTGGGAGCACAACCTGGAGACAAAAATATCCTGCAGACCAACGGAGTATTTTTGTGCTAAATCTGCATGTGCATAAACATATAGTGTTCTAGCTGACCATGGTTTCAAATTCAAGAAATAATGTCTGTCAACTATATGTTGTTGCGCCCATAGTGGGACATGGATGTTAAGGTTTCCTTCAAATCTTCATCCAAACGAATTTCCTGCAGCTGTTTAAAATGTTCTGCGAGCAGTGCTCGCCTATTTTCTCCACCCCTGACTCCAAGACTCTAATATAACACACATACTATCTGATTTTCTTTTCAACAACTGCAAAATGATTGATAGAGCTGATTACTGGTATTTATTACTGTTGAAGAATCCTTTGTGATACGGAGACTGAAATCTAACCTTAATCACGGAACTAAAGCTTCTAAAGAACTAATAATATTTAACTAATGCCTCATGTACATTTATCATATTTCATCACTGGTATATATACCTATGACACAGAGTAATTTCATCATTCCTGATGCTTAAAATCTAGTCGAAACGTCGAATAAACACTTTTCAAAATGTTTTTGGAGTCACTATTGTATTGTATTTAATTAAAATACTCCGTAATTCACTCAATTTCCTCTCCCACAGGTGGAATTATGTTGCTGGGAAAGTTATAAACAACATAAAGATAAACAAGAAAAATTAAAATATTTTACAACACCAAGTGACAACGAAAACGAAGAAGACGAAGAAGTGGAATATTCATTTTGGAAGAATGCGAGAAGAAAAGGTTATATGCTGTTGGAAAAACCTGCTTCGTCAACACCAGCCAAGGTGAGACTGCAGTTCTTGCTTTGCCACCTGCTTTACACTATCAAAGTTTCTGTGATCACAGTAGGAATTTTGCATCGGTAAATTCTAAGTTTTGAAGGATTTGTAAGAAATGTTTGAGGAAACTGACTTAATGTTTAACAGTGAATCAGTTAAACCCTCAAAAAAGTCTTACAAATCCTTCAAAACTTAGAATTTACCTAGATGCAAAATTCCTACTGTGATCACAGAAACTTAGATAGTGTAAACCAGAGATGGACAAAGTATCGGAACCTGGAAACCTAGTTCCCAGAAATTTTTTTGAGTTGAAAGTTTCGCAGAAAATTTTCCAGAGAATATTTTCAACATTTTTAGATAACTCTGTTTACTCAACTTACAACTATTCTACTTTATTTACACTGTACACGCTAACATCAGCAGCCTTTTAAATATTTGACAGAAATTAATTCTGTTACCCACCCCTGCCATCACAATGAGGTAAAATGATAAATATATGCTCTGCAAAGCCTCCAATAAAATGCAAATTAAATAGTAAACTTGTAAATAAAATATGCAATGAAATAAGCTTCAAGTGCCAGTGCTATATGCTATTATTATACTGCTATAATACTAGTATAATCATAACATAACAAAAAATATGCAAATCAGACAAAAAGTCAAGTGATGGAATAAATAAGATACCAGTTGATAAACGTGGTATATAACAGACAACCATTGCGAAGCACGAGCATACGTAAACCAGCCTAAGAAAATTTCTAGCCTTTCACCCATGTTGCTAGAAAGAAAAAAAATTTTTCCACCCCAGGTGTAAACCAGCTTTTAAGGAATATAGGAACACTTTAAGGTTGAAATACAGACAGTTTAGATGGACCACTTAAAACATAGAAGCATTGGACAGCATCAATTCTCAAATTGTCACTGCTGCAGAACTTTCAAACATTCTCTCTTTGTTTCAGATTGTCTCCATTCTAAACCTAACCACGTTTCTCATCACAATCATTCAATTCTGTTTGACAACGTTACGAACATTCCAAGAAGACTCTCAACGAATCAAAATTCTCTCCAACATACGGATATTTACCGTCACGTGGTTTCTGTTCGATCTCGTACTCAGGCTGCTGTTCGCGCCATCTCTGGTGGAACATTTTAAGAAAATTATACATTGGTTGGATTTAACTTCAGTGTGTGTTCTGATCGTTCACACCAAAATACATCAAGCTCCAAACGCTATCCAACCTTTCGAGATGTTAATCTTTCTTAAATCAATTCGTTTATTTCATTTATTGACGTTCAGTTTTGTTATACAAGTTTTGACGAATACTCTGAAAGCCAGCACACGAGAACTTGGCTTGCTCACTGCTATTGTGGTCTTTCAAGCCTTCATATTTTCAATGGTGTTGTTCTTCATTGAAAGAGATGATTCGAGCACGAAATTTGAAAGTGTTCCTCATAGCTTATGGTGGGCGATCATCACAATGACCACGGTATGTAATACTTCAAGTTTATTGTTTATCGAGTTTCTCACTCACTAGTGAGCGGACTTCCCAACAGGATATCGCCCAATTGTTAAGGGATTGGGGATTATTATTATTAAACTTTATTTAATGAGGGATTGCATTGATTACTTAATAGTATTCTTCCCAATGGCCCTCGATGTACCTGCGATTTAACGTCCTTATCCGAGAAGACGCGAAAGTCTAACCATTTACTGATGTCAATGTAAAGGTAGCTCTTTCTCCTCAATTATTTTGAGACATTGAGTAGAGGACCGACCAAGGATTGAACCCAGGTCTCCAGCTTGAAAGACAAGCGCGGTGAATACGACATCACAAGAAGTGTTTTTTAAAGGTGATGTAAAGTCCGTTCTGCGCAGGCCTACATTCCAATGGTCAGGTTCCGACCATTGGAATGTTGTTAATATTTCGCACCTTCCGAACTTTCTTGAATTGAATCTCTAGTCTGTATTCATTTACAAGCATAGCAAACCAGAAGAGTGTTAAAAATTCAGTATAATATATATCTAATCATATTTTACAACTGTAGCACTGAGTTCAAAATGTAAACAAAGCGTTTGTTCACATTACGGACTTTACATCACCTTTAAACTTCTCTCACAATAAAACTGGGCAGGCAGTACTGACAAAGCGTTTGTTTTCTCCCCAGGTAGGTTACGGCGACATTCAGCCTCGCACATGGATGGGACAAATCCTGGGTTGTTGTTGTGCTATGTGTGGTGTGTTAGTCATAGCTCTTCCTGTATCTGTCCTTGGAACGAACTTCACGTTATTCTACACGTATGCCAAGGCGAGGCTAAACTTACCACCTAAAGCTGAGCAGAAACAACCGCTCTCGAAAGAGCTTACGTCATTGAAAGCGAAGAAGGCCGGGTTACCTCACGCCAGTTCCAGCTACAGCTGCAACTCAATAGCCAGGAAATATGAACAAACTACAACTAAAAGCAGTTTGGAATGTTTAACGGAAGACCACAATGACAAAACTGATGTTTCCTCGCATAGATCAAGCATTAGCGACAGACGTCCAAACGGTTCAAATTCTACGCACCAAAACTCAGCGAACGCTCAAGACACAGACCTTGATCTAACACCATCTTTCCGAGAATGTAATTTTGATTTCTTGGAAGTGCCTGCAGTAGGCAAGCGGTTAAAAAAATCGTTTTTGACAAACTCAATCTCGCGCATGTTCAGTGCGATCACACATCACTCGAGGCAGGCCCAGGCCTCTGCAGGAGCGCTGCAACTAGACGTACATTCCACGTATCCACTATACCTGCGTCGGGGCGCAGTCGCCCCGGGTTCGATCAGTTCTCGGAGTTTCTCGTCAACACTATACGACAGTGGCTCGTCAATACCAAATTGTGTGAAACAATCAGTAAAGTCTTTGAGACGCAGACAGAAACTTAGTAAAAGACTGGGGAGCACAAGGAAATGTACTTCAAATGCAGAACTACATCTTGTCTGTTTCCATCGTTGTGAGAAACATCCGAACGAGGACAAGAACGATAGCAAAACTAACAATTGTTCATGTCCGTCACATCCTTCAGCTTACTCCAAGCCAAGGCTCGCGAAGAGTTGTTCTGAGTTGAATGATATTCTTCAAGGGAACTATCAGAATAGTCTTAATAGCATGAACAGTGATAATTTCTTGTCATCAGGGGATATACCTGGTGATGATAGACCACAGAGCGTTCCTCTCAGCGAGATAGCAATTACAATCAACGGCTGTAGTGACGATGGCAGCGACGGGAAAGATCAGAAACTCCCACTGTTACGAATTAATAACCCCGGAAATAAAGGCGTGTTCTTAAAACCGTGGGCGAATCACGCGGGGAAATGACCCCGGGGAAAAGTGTCGACCCCGGGGAAAAATGATTTGAGACACATTATTTATATACTATGTATTATAGATACTGTAACTACCAGATTAGATAGATGTCAAGGTCGCCAATATGGCGCAGGCAAAATGGAACTTGGTTTGTGGATCAAATCATTCCAAACTGCATAGTTTTTATATTAGCGCTTCAGCACAAACGATAAGTTGATTTTAAAATCAACGTCTATCTCCTGCAAAGTAGACTGTACGTCGCATTGTACAATAATTAACAATTATTCGCCGAAGGCGAGTTGATTATCGGTGAATAAAAACCGAGACAAAGTCAAGGTTTTTATTCACGATAATCACCGAGCCTGATGTGAATAATTGTTTTAGTATAATTTCATAGGTGTCTGATTATTTTGGGGAAAAATACACAAATTTTCGTCATTTAATTGACGAAACGGCTTCGGCCGCCATTTTGAAAATCGCTTAGGTGATTATCGCGTTAGAATCACCTCAACGCCTCACAGCGTGGAGAATTTTCAATAATCACCTCTGTAATTATACTAAGTTACTAACACAAAATAAACGCGTGTTGCACAAATTAGATTCTGCTTTGCTTGGAGAATTAGCGCGCATGTACTTTCTTAGAGTTTATATCATAGATCATATTGCATCATAGATGTGTAATATTTACCAAATATTTTACAAATTTTAACAAAATAATAAAGATGTGATCTTTCCCAAACGCACCAATAAAATATGAAATGTAATAACTAATAAATGGAACTACTAATCTCCCGTTTCATCGGCCTAGCACCCGAGATTTCCTAGACGCATACAGCGTTCCGTGAAGCGCGACGTTTTTTTAATCAGAGACACGAGCATACGCCACACTAAGGCCACATAAAATAAATTCCTTGATTCTCATCACTACACTTTGAAACTGTCGAAGAGGCGGGAGGTTTATATTTTATATTTTATATTTATATAATTTAATATATATAAATAAATATAAAAGTGTCACAAACTGAAATAAGGCATATTTCTCCACGAACAATCACTGGCCCTTGAACTGAATGCGAAGTTCCGTTAAACTGCAATGAAATTTCTTTCAGGTTCTATTTGTTTGAAATTGGCAGTTTAAAATGGCACTAAAAACCCAATATAAAATATAAAAAACTTAACTGTCTTGAAATATTTTGTCGGGCGGTACATTTATATTGTATAACAAAATATAAAAAAAATTTCACGCGGCTCTTAAAATACAGTCGGGCGGTGATGGGAATCAAGGAATTTATTTTATGTGGCCTAACAGCGCATTCATATTGCTTCATGCTGCACTGACTATAATATTTTTCATTGTTCCTAATGTTTTCCACTTTGTTTTCAAACAATGCCACCTATAGTTTTAGTTTTGATATTTGTGAAACTCAAGACTTTGTTTTCAAACAATTCCACTACCTATAGTTTCAGATACTTTCAGTTTTGATATTTGTGAAACTCACGACTTTGTTTTCACAAAACGTTGTACAACTTCAATCAGCGACGCAAGTTTCCAATTTCAAAAGGCATGACATTACAGAGTATAACCGCGTGTTTTGAAAGGACAAGTTTGGACACAACGCCACTTTTGAACGCAACGATATTTTCACACAACATTACTGACCTCAGCTCACGACTTTTTCTTTTTCTTCAGTTTTTCTTGAAGATTAAAATTCTTGTACGATCTTTTCTCATATTCCTTTAACTTGTACTTACGATGCGGCCTAGTAGAGGAAAATTAACAATATCATGACAAGCTGGCTACACATGTAAAAATCTCACAACTTGTCAACAAGATGTGTTCGCAACAGGCTTGTAGCAAGCTTGTCAACAAGTTGTAACAATGCTGTTATTTTATCAAGTTGCTACAAGCTTGTCACTCACAACTTGTTGACAAATTGTTGAATTGCAGGACGATAACAAGTTGTTGGAACAACTTGTAACAAGTCTGTTGAGCTTAACAACCTTGTAGCAAGTTGTCAACAAGCTGGGAACAAGCAGTGCGAACACATCCTGTTGACAAGTTGTTGGAACAGCATTGCTACAAGTCTGCTGCAGGTTTGTTACAACTTGTGCGTTTCCAGGGACAATCAATCAATCAATCAATCAATCAATAACTTACATGACAGGTCTTCTGGGTTCGATGATATTTCGTCGTTGTAGATTTTTAAAACGATCCTCAAAGAGGTTCCCCTCTGGCTACAAAAACATTAAATAATACTTGGTTTTTGTTTCGTTTCCAGCTTGATGCATGGCAAGTTTTTGGTAGAACATTACTCAACATAAATATTTCTTACCTTCATATTTCGTAAGCTCCCCGAGACCTCGTCAGTTAACTGAATTTCAATATTCATTTCTTCAAATCTTTAGATTGAAGTTAAGATTTTAATAAAGTTACACTTCAAAATAAATGGGTGATTCCAACTTATAGACTAAATTTTGATCAAGGCAGGAAGAACGAAATCCAATATCACAGCTAGAACGAGCGTCTTATAATGAGTAAAACTGCAAAGATTGGTTGCGAAATGTTGTAAAATGAAGATAATATAGCCCTGTAAAGTTCGCAAATTTTGAATATATTTGTATTGCGCGCGGTAAAAATAATCACTTTCGGCTCAAAAATGGTTATTTTTCCCTCGTGTAATACAAATATATACAAAACGTGCGAACTTCACAGGGCTATATTTTCCTCATTTTAAGATGCTCTTTCCAGCTATGCTAATGGATTTCGTTCTTGTTGTTAGTGCCTACATTTCAAGTTGGCGCCTACAGTCTTGTCTGATGAAATATCAAGCCAGAAAACAATTCAGATTTTACAGCAGATTTTAACAGGTTTCTACAAGAGGATACTTTTGTCTTCCTAAGCGTTGAGGTTTTGAGGAAGCTTCAACGAGTTTCTTTTGCTTTTTCTCCTGCCTTTCTTTTGTTTTTTCAGCATCTTTCTTCATTAATTTTTTTAGAGATTTCACTCTGAAACGAAAACATTGGATAATATTATTCTGACAATCTTTCTCATTTGTGAATCATTCTATCTTGAACTCACCTGAACACCTCATTCTCTTTCACTTTCTCTTTACGCTGCAGTTTTGAACTTTGTTCCTGAAATGAGCACAAAATGTTGCTACAAATTTAATCAAAGTAAAATTATCTGGATAGCTATATCAGTTCTAAACTGTTCTCCTTAGAGGTCCAGTAAGAATCATCTCTTATTGATCCAATGTTACTACAGGAGGAAACCTAAACTAAACTAGCTTTATTTATACTGGATAGCTCTATCAGTTCTAAAATGTCCTTCCTAGAGGTCCAGTAACGATCATCTCACATCTCTTATTGATCCAGTGTTACTACAGAAGGAAACCTAAACTAAACTAACTTTATTTATACTGGATAGCTCTATCAGTTCTAAACTGTTCTTCCTAGAGGTCCAGTAAGGATCATCTCTTATTGATCCAGTGTTACTACAGGAGAAAACCTAAACTAAACTAACTTTATTTATACTGGATAGCTCTATCAGTTCTAAACTGTTGTAAGGATAATCTCTTGTTGCTCCAGTGTTACTACAAGTACTAAAATGAATTTATTTATACTGGATAACTTTATTCTCCCTAAAGAAACATCATAACATTCACCTCCTTCTTTCTTTCATTTGCTTTTCGTTTTTCTTTTGCAGTTTTCCTTTCCTTACTACCACCAGCAGGCAGCATCGTTCCACTTTCATCATCATCACCATCATCACTATCCTCTCCACCTTCGCCATCACTTTCTTCACCAAACAATCCCTGACTCATTTCCTCCTCCCAACTTGGCTGCAGAAAATGAAAATCACAAATGTCAGGTCTTAAAGCCTGGTGTACACTAACAAAGTTTCTGTGATCACAGTAGGAATTTTGCATGGGTAAATTCTAAGTTTTGAAGGATTTGTAAGAACTGTTTGAAGGAAATGACTTAATGTTAAACACTGAGTAAGTTCCCTCAAACATTTCTTACAAATCCTTCAAAACTTAGAATTCACCCATGCAAAATTCCTACTGTGATCACAGAAACTTTGATAGTGTTAACCAGACTTAATTCAGTCACAAATAAATAGGTGGGTTTCACAAAACATTATTGCACAGCAGATGGTGATCAATGTGCAGTTATCAGTTGAGAGAGGAGTCCTTTCATAGTAAATACTAGTTTTGTATTAAGAGGCAAATAATCACAAGAGATACAGATACTTGGTCAAATTATGAGCTTGCAGAATCTCCTTATTGGCAAATATCTTGCTTAGAAAAACCTTGTCAAAATTGCCAATGTTGGCAAGTTCGTGCAAGATCATGACAAGATTATGACAACATCCAGTGCATGTAGGATCTTAGCAAGAAGACTTACAAGTTTTGCTAACTCTTCTTCAGACGGCAGCGCCAACTGTCTCTTGATTTTCTCAATCTCTTTCTCCTTCATGATCTCCACCTCACACGCAGCATGCAACAATGTCTAAAGTTAGAACAAGAATAGTGAGGAATACATGTTTGATGAACATAACATGACAAGCTTTTCAGAACTTTACAGTAATGACATGGCCCCACGAAGAGGAGAGGGAAGGACAAGGGTGGATTTTCATTTTCTGTAAAGGAGGGTGGAAAAATTTCTTGTGGGGGTACAAGCGGCACCACTGAGAGAGCTTCGGCAGGGGTTAGGGTTAAATACTTTCACACAAGGGGTGAAGCAAAATTTTGGTGGGTGAAGCGAAATTTTGGTGGGTGAACACTACTTTATTAGAGGGGTTAGAGAGATTCTAGGGGGTGGGGTTAAGGGGAAGGCAGAGGGCATTTTGTTCCAGACTCCTACCTCATAAAGGGCCCCAAAAGAAGGCTCTTAAAATGTCTTAATGCTAGCTTCCACAGTGCCAGATAATACATATGCAATAAAACCACACCGGGAAACTTTTGTCCTGCGTCCTGTGCAACTTCTCGGCATCTCTGCACTATGGTTAAGTATGGTGGGACCAACAGAATACACCCTTCTGTCTCTTTGGTTATAGAGCCTCATTTTCATGTATGTGACATTAGGTAAAACCCACTTCTTAATCATGAAAACTCTGCAGCCAAGATGACATGATGTTCCTACCTGATGGTCTTCAAATGTCGGGTTGTAAGATGCTCCAGGATGACAGACAGCTAACGCTGGTGCCGTACTTCTCACTTTGTAGGCAGTCTTTGGTTGCTGGATAACAAATATGAAGCAAGTTAATTCTTGCACTGGAAAGACACACTTGTATCATTAATATTAATACCTTGACAGCTTTTTTCTTTGTCATTTTCAAATAATGCTCATTTTCTACAGCTTCATCTTCTTTTGAATTATCTACATAAAATACAAACATTCAAAGTACAAAATGAATTGAAACAGTAAGGAACATGTATTAGTAGGTATATCTAGGGTTATGCATAGTATACTAGCCAGCTTAAGCATGCACCAGTTTTGTCAACACGCCCGTCACTAAAAAATTGGTACCGTATAACTAATTTTGGTGGCATTTTGCATCATAGCACTCATACGGGGAAGCAAATGTGTTGAAGATTACTACAAACTGATACAAACACATATCCGTGTTGACAAAAAGTGCGCTCGTTTAAGCTTGCTGTCTTATCTACACACCATTACTGGTGGAGGCCCATAGATCATACACCCCAGTTTTCTGTGTTCTATTTTTGCGATTCTTGATGGCGGCAGTTCTTGCTTCATCATCTGAAGACTCATCTGAATTGTCATCTTTTTTCAACTTTCTTTTCTTTCCTGTCAGAACTTTAGAAACCTTGCTTTCTCCTGCTTCTAGAAAATACAACCAGGGTTCGAAATAGTTGAGAAAAAATGATGTGCAATTTTTTTTAAAATATGGCTCTAAATTTCTATAAAATACAGTAGTATCTTAGGTACTCAGTCAAACATCTACTCAATCAAACTGCAATAATTTAATTATTTGAATACTTTTTAAATTGTTTGCAATTTTAGATATACACTACAGACCTTAGATATGAAATGTACCAAAGCTGATACTGTATATTTTATTTCTTGTGGTGAACAAGAGTATTTAGTCAAGTTTACCATTTTCTATCTCGTCATTGTCTTTATCAACATAAAATAATTCTTCGCTCCTCTTCAGTGATATTACGCCGCTAAAAGCGAAATAAAGCTAAATCAGAACACACCGTCATTTGCGTCTAAATATGAACGGTCTCAGAGAAAATCGTTGTCTGTGGTTGTGCATAAATGTCATGTTTGTATTAACCAAACATTTGAAGCTTTCAAGGTTCAACATGAATGCTGGATTTGCCTGAACAAATTGGAACAAAACTTCAGTTGATAAGGATCCAACTAGGTACCTAAAAAATACAAGGAGAACTGCAATGTTTTGAGCGAAGGTCCTTCGTTGGGAAATCAATAGCCAAAGGGCCTTCTCTGCCAACAAAGGGTCTTCTCTCGAAACGTCGAAGTTTTCCTTGTACTTTTTATGCAGTTGAATCATGGATATCTTATATACACTAGATAGTGCATCTCTAATTATTCTGCAATTCAAAAATTGAAGCTGTGATTGCAGACTCAGGATATTTCCATGAAATGAGAAGACTTGTATGTTTTCTATTTCTTAAACAGGGAACTTAAACATTAAGTTAAACCTATTCCAAATACATTTTCAAAGTATTCAAATGATGAAAGTTATTGTTGTTTTTTAAGCATTTATTAGCGAGTGGGAAACTCCAACATGGCCGCCATCTATTCAAATGGGGGTAACCGCTGGAATATTCTTGGCTTCAATTTTACTAAAAGGGATGTGCTATCTAGTGTATATAAGATATCTATGAGTTGTATCCCTATCAATCCGAATCTTTTATGAATAGCACTATTAACTGTCTATCTACACTGAATGTTCAGGATTTGATCAGATTAGAAGTGCTATCAGATTAGAACAGCCTGCATAGACAATATTTTTTTATTATCTGAAACTATTCATCTTTGTATGCAAACAACGGCTTGAACGAGTTTAGTTTGTATGTTTAAGTTTTGCAATTGTTTTCTACTTCAAATTCTAGCCGAACCAGCCGGTCAATCAGGGAGATTTTATTTCATTCATTTCTAAACCTACCCGGTCCTTTCTTGTCGTCTAACTTCATCCAAATGTTCTTCTATCTCTGTAATATCAACATGTTTTCTCCAGCTACGCTTAGACTTCTTACTCACACGTTTTCGTTTCTTTTTAACATTGTCTTGAGCGTTTTCAACTCCTTTTCCCGACTCCATTTTGAAATATTTAAAAACACGTGGCTCACCGCCTGTTCGCAGGCTACACGCTGCTTGGATTACGCAATACTTTTGCAATATATCAAAAAAGCAAATTAGGCCTCAAAATATGGATTCAAAGTATGCACAAAAACTTAAATTCTTTTTTACCGACATGTTCTTTAATACTATTGCCTTTGAATAGTTTCATAAAATACATTTATATATAAACGGAGTTGTAGCTACAAAATGAATATTATCTAGAATATCAAATACAATACGCTTTGTTCTTCTCAAAGTATTTATATTATAAAGAGTTCCTGTAGCTTGAAAACTCAAGAATACAATAAAATTTCCAAATACCTCTTTGCAACGAGTTAAAACACCCACACACAGCTTTATGTAGAGTTTTTTAGCCCCGGAAAGATATCGGGACGAGGTGGCCGAGTGGTTAAGGCGATGGACTGCTAATCCATTGTGCTCTGCACGCGTGGGTTCGAATCCCATCCTCGTCGATAACTTTTTATTTCATTTTTCCTTTTTTTTTCTCATTCGAAAGCCTCCAACTTTCTCCGAAAGGCGTTCGTTTATACATTTCAACAAAGTTTACATCTCCAAAAATTCTTTTAAAAATTTTGACGCAAAAATGTTCACAGAAAATTTAAATTCCAGTGTTACTATGGCAACCAATGTTGGTTTAGGTTCGATCAAAAGATCAAGGCATAAACAGTCCATCTTTTAATAAACCTGCTTTTAATTTATTGTGTCTGCAGGATTCTGCTTTAAATCTCGAAATCTTATTCAGCATATTGAAAAAAATGAGCTGAGGGGTTGGTGGTTAATTAAAGAAACAAAAACGATGGATATCACTGACCTATTCTAGCCATTTTTACCTTCTATGCTACAATGCAAAGTAAGTGGTTGTTTATAAAACACCTCAAAAGACCTTATATTCTTTTCGTATTTCTACCAAATTATTGAAATAGATAGCTCCATTATTAAGTTGTGTTTTGTGTCAATACTAATCCGTTTTCTCCACAGAATACCGAGTTTTGGGGAAGAAGGGGGAAGGGACATTTTCGGAAGTGCTCAAAATCCAAAATGTCCGGGATGGGAGTTACTTCGCTTGTAAGAAAATGAAACAGCATTATGACAGGTACGGTAGCAGAAATGTCCTTCACCTTCAATAAAGTGTTCCTTCTTAGTTTGTATGTTTGAAATACTTTGTGTTCTAGCCTAGAACAAGTTAACAATCTTCGCGAAGTACAAGCAATGCGTCGTTTGACCCCTCACCCGAATGTAGTCGATTTAAAAGAAGTCATATTGTAAGTGAAGGAAATTCGTGTAATATAGTTTTACTGTAAACGTACTAAAGTTTCCTAAAGGACAATTTAGCAATACAATGCTTGTTTTTAGTGACCGAAAAAGCGGGCACTTGGCTTTAGTTTGCGAACTAATGGATATGAATCTTTATGAGCTTATAAGAGGTAAAATATGTTATCATTATTAAAGATAGCGTACACTATTTGTCCGTTTATATTTAAAATTTTTACAAGGTTTAATGAATACAGCTTACCGGGCGGCATTTCAAAAAAAAATAGTAGAATTAGAATTGAAAATAAGTGTATATACTTAATATCACAAAAACGTTCGCAAGAAATTAATTAGAAATCTTTGCGTCCGAATATATTCTGTGGAAAAATGCACATTTTTTCCCCGTTTCTAAAACCTTTTTTAAAATAAACTGTCCGCGGTTTGTTTAGTTATTTCATAAAAGGCTAGACTGTTTTATTTGATAATTTCATCAAAAGGAAATATACAGTACAACAGTGACATGTTAATTTTCTATATGCTCTTGCCAGCAGCTGATAATATATTTATCTTTTGTCGTCTGTCAAGAAAATTATAAATTCTCCTTTGAAAATTCGACATTTTGGGCTTTAAATAAGCAAATAGCAGATGTGTTCTCGGTGTTCCCTACCTAAAAGAAGATTAATGTATCAGATGTTTTGGCAACTAAGTTCTCAAAAAGTGTGCTTTTAATTTTTTCTATATAAAATTTGCCCATTTTTGAAGCAATTTCAATGCACCTGTCTGTTCTTTATGAGAACGTTCTAGCCGTGTTAAGCCTTGTAATATTTTAATCATACAGTGTAAATTATACAGCTGTCAATATGGCATAATTACTCCAGCACTCTGGGACCAGAGTCCAGTAAAATGGCTGTGTTTCTGTTTTATTTTTTACCCAAATACTCATTATTCAACCAATAAAGGGAGAAGACATTATTTACCAGAGGATCAAGTAAAAAACTACATGTATCAAATATGCAAATCTATTGATCACATGCACAGGTAACAAACAGTCTGTATGAGAAAGTAATACTGAACAGGAAGTATGTAGTGATCACTCAACAGGAAGTGATTAATATGCAGTGGCTCTCAACAGGAAGTGATTAGTATGCAGTGACATTCAAACAGGAAGTGATTAGTATGCAATGGTACTCAACAGGAAGTAATTTGTATGCAAGGGCATTATAACCAGGAAGTGATCAGTATGCATTGACACTCAACAGGAAGTGATTAGTATGCAGTGACACTCAACAGGAAGTGATTAGTATGCAGTGACACTTAACAGGAAGTGATTAGTATGCAGTGACACTTAACAGGAAGTGATTAGTATGCAGTTACACTCAACAGGAAGTGATCAATACACCACAGCTAAGTTTTAAAGTACATGCATAGACTAAGGACCATATCTCATAACCAAGACTATTCTTTGATTAGGAATGGTATATTTCATCGAGATGTTAAGCCTGAAAATATCTTAGTGAAGGTAAGAATGTGATAGATCAAAAATGGTTGTTCTAATTGTGGAAATGAGAGAAAAAATTATTTCAATGTTTCTAGAATGATGTTGTAAAATTAGCAGATTTTGGATCATGTAGAAGTGTATATTCGAAGCAACCCTATACAGAATACATATCAACTAGATGGTTAGTAATCAATTGTTACATTTGGTAATTAATTTAACAAGGGTATTACATGTAATGAAACTAATTAGTTAGCATGTACTAAATAATGAATTGGTAATTAATTGTTGAATTAAATCGACTTTAAGGTACCGTGCACCAGAATGTCTTCTGACAGACGGGTATTATTCATATAAAATGGATATCTGGAGTTTAGGTTGTGTATTTTTTGAAGTTCTAAGGTATGGGACGTATTTATTATAGATTTCCATTGCCACATTCTGTCATTCATAATGTCACACACTATTCTGTACATATTTCGTTCTTCTTATTAGTTTACATCCATTGTTTCCTGGTTCAAACGAAGTTGATCAAATCGCAAAAATCCACGACGTTCTAGGCACACCAGCTCAAAGTGTTCTACAAAAACTCACAAAGTATGTGGCTCGCCAATAAATACAATATTCGTCTTGGGAATTATATTCAATGGACAGAATCTCAAACAGATGATCCGTCTGGACGAACTTGGGCAAAGAAAAGATAGTTAATCTAATGTTGTGTTTAAAAATTCCGACAGCTTGTCAACAAGATGTGTTCGCACTGCTTGTTCCCAGTTGTTGACAAGTCTGGAACAAGTTGTTATCATCTTGTAACAAGGTTGATGAGGCCAACAGACTCGCTACAAGTTGTTCCAACAAGTCTGATATCGTCTGCACGTATAACAAGTTGTTAACAAATTGATGACAACAAGTTCGTAGCAACTCGTTACGAACAGCCTGTATTAGTCTTGTTGGAACAACTTGTAGCAAGTCTGTTACCGTCATCAACCTTGTAACAAGATGATAACAACTTGTTCCAGACTTGTCACAACAACTGGGAACAAGCAGTGCGAACACATCCTGATATCGACTTCACAACAACCTTGTTATAACTTGTTTGCAGATCTAACAACTGGCGCGATTTTACGCGTGTACAAATCATGCAAATTCCTTTCTTACAATGGTAATTTACTTCATTTTGTAGCAAATCACGCAGCATCAATTTTCAATTTCCACAAAAACAAGGAACAGGGATACGTAAACTGCTCCCGCACGTTTCAACAGAATGTATAGAACTTATAGAACTCATGTGTACCTACGACCCTGACGAAAGGTAACGTTTGAGAACGATGGAAATTCTTCACTTTTGATTGTGATATACGAAATTCATTGACTAAAGCGTGGTTTACACTATCAAAGTTCTGTGATCACAGCAGGAATTTTGCATAGGTAACTTCTAAGGTTTGAAGGACTTGTAAGAAATATTTTAGGGAACGGATTCAGTGTTAAACAACGAATCAGTTTCTTCAAACATTTCTTACAAATCCTTCAAAACTTAGAATTTATCTATGCAAAATTCCTACTGTGATCACAGAAACTTTGATAGTGTTAACCAGACTTATTGGAAGATTGTTAATAATTATACTGCTATAGTGCCTATACTGTATATATGACATCACAAATTATGTGTTCTTTTTTTCACAGAATTTCTGCGAGACAGACTTTGCGTCATCACTATTTTAAGAAACTAAGGTAGCGATATTTTGAATTGAAATACAGTCGATGCTCTAGACTTGCTTCAAGTCTCTCTCTGTGTTTCCGATAAAGAATTCTGGGGAGGGAAAGTAGGGATAGGAGAGGAAAAGAGTGGATCTCCCAGGGGCTTGGGAATCGATACGGAGTTTGAGAAGTCTATTGAAACTCTAATAACAGGCTCCAATTAACGGAGGTCGTTTCAAATGTGTCCAATGATGAGGAACGCCAAACATCTTCAAACGCTCCAAAGGAAAACCTACAAGGAATGATATGCTTTTTAACTTTGCCTTCCAGAGATGCAGATAAGAGAGCGGCTGCCTTAGAGAAGGAAAGGCATAAAGAAAGAGATCAACAATCCAGGATCCATGGTGCAATTCTCACCAAACACAAAACTCACAGAAGACCAAAGGTAACGAAACATTGTTTGGATTGAGTGAGAGTTTCTCACTCATTGGTACGTGAGCAGATTTCCCAACAGGCAATTGCCCAATTGACAGGGGACCCGAGGTACCTACGATTCTAACGTCCTTGTTCGAGAGGACGCAAAAGTCCAACCATTTACTGATGTCAATGTAAAGGTGTAGCACTTTCTCCCGAATTATTTTAAGAGCTTGAGTAAGGATTGAACCCGAGTCTCCCAGCTTGAAAGGCAAGCGAGCACAAGAGCTGATTGATGTCTAGTTTTACCTTCTGCAGATTCTACGGTTTATATAGAAGTTCATATATGTACACTTTCTCTCTAGAAAAAGACCTACCAAGAAGAAGCTAAGCCTAAAGTAAGTTTTATAAGTTATAGTAGTTCTCATGCAACTTTTGTTTGGTATAACTTCTCCACATCAACAAGAGAACTCGAATGCATGGCGAACAATGTAGCGACCCAGAGAACAATATGGCAGCCCAGATAGAAACTTATAGCAAGTCAAGAAGAGCAGTATAGGATTGTGACCTCCTTTGCAACACCAATCAACAAATGTAAAAGGAGAATAATTGAATGCGTTTCTGTCTTGCAGGGTTTACTAGGAGATGGAAGCTTCCTCCCTCGCATAGCGGGAGCAACACGTACATCCAACACAAGTGTCAAATTTCCAACTGCCTTCCCAACCATCACCAACATACAACCCAAAGATAACAACGTCAAGGTAGAATGTTCTTCTTCATAATATTTTGTTTACCATACTTATATTCTGTACACCGAGTGTGTGTTCAGTGTATTGGAAGGCAAATAACTGGAATAAGGAGATATGGGATAATTTTCTTCCTCTATGAGCTTCAACGATTATGATCAGTATCGCTGCTCCTTGACGGCTCATTGAAAGCCATTTTTTTATTTCTTTTCAGCCACAAAATGTCAAACAAATGTTCCCACATTATACGTTACCGGCGCTGGAAAAACACGGAGGACACTGAACCTAGGATTACTCAACATGAGATTTTGATAAGTAATGAAGACGTGTTACCACCATTGTGAAGATTTTAGGTCGTCTCTAAAATAACCAAGATGTGAAAATAGAATTGCAGAAATATCTGTTTAAATAGGAATTTGTAAATACTCCTGCGTCAAGAACAAGATCTAGGAAAATCATGATGGATTCATCATGGCTGTACGTATGATGGAATAGTTTTTGTACGCACAAACTTTTTAGTTTGTGAATTGTAATTTAATTTTAGGTTTACCGTATTTTTTAAAACTTTGCACTCAATAAACTTATATTTTTACACTGCGTGTTACAATTATGTTTATACAGTAGGACAGCAAGCTGTCGAAACCCAGGTGAAAGTCGCCATTACACTATCAAAGTTTCTGTGATCACAGTAGGAATTTTGCAAAGGTAAATTCTAAGTTTTGAAGGATTTGTAAGAAATGTTTGAAGGAACTGACTTAATGTTAAACACTGACTCAGTTCTCTCAAACAGTCCTTACCGATCCTTCAAAACGTAGAATGTAGGGGGTCTATTAGGCCTATAGTTTGGCGGTTGTGGTGCATTTGAGAGGGCGGTCAGTTTCGGATATATCTCAATTTTCGTGACGGTTTACGATGAAGAAGTAATCACTCGGTGATGGAAAATCGTTGAGCATAGCTAGACTATATTACATAAGCACCATTTGAAGATTGGCTGCCTTCGCAAAAATGTAAAATCTAATGAAGCATAGTAAATTTGTCATTGAGTATATCCGCTATAGAAAAATGGTGGAAACATGGCGGAACTGGAGTTTGTAAATTATACTGATCCATTCTTACGCAAAAAAACAAAACGGCTTATGGGACGTAGCAATTATATAACTATGTAGTGTTGGAACTGTCAATTTATTATCCTTATTTGAAAGTATCGATCATGTTGGGTCTGCATGAAGTGTGAGGCACACAAAACTCGCGAGTCACTTGTTTAGATCTTGTCAATTTGTCGTTACTCCTCTTGCTGTTATTCTTACAAAAGCTACTTTAATAGGGGCGAACCATTAGAAAATTGATTGGGGGGGGGGGGACTTTTTTAACTTGTACGAATACTTTTTAAAAATTTTTTGCTTGTGTCGATAATTTTTTTAAAATAATATAATATCCCTTGCACGATTTTTTATTTCAACTTATAATTGTTCCTATTGAAAAGTCTCTGCACGAATTTTTTTTCAAACTTTCTTAATGTATGAATTTTTTTCTTTCCGTTTCCCCTGAGCGATTTCCCCCCCCCCCCGATCACTTTTGTAATGGTCCGCCCCTTAATTCTTCATTGTCAACATTCGTGATATCATTTGATTTGGGAATTCCACCTCGATTAGTCGGTGATTAAACTGTTCTTCGAGATCCAGTGCGACACTAAACTAGACTAACTTTATGCTGGATAAGTTTTACATGGTCAATTGAACATAATTTCGCCGTAAAAGCCTTGCATACCGGAAATATAATTGTTTGGTATTTGTGGAAACATCACGTTTATTTTGTATTATCCAGCTTTCGATCCGTAAACCTGCATGGGTCTTAACCAATTGACAGTGTAATTATTATAGCACCAATTCAGGCCGGACTTGGATCGAAAGCTTCGCCAAAGCCGAACCAAAGAAATAAACATCTCCACAAAACAAAACAATTATATTTATTTTTACCATGCAAATCTACAAAGTCAAGGATCTTATTGTGCTTTATAACAATGGTATGAAGATAAGGAAATATCTTTAAAGCAAAATACACTAATTATTAAAAAAAAGCGTGATTATATTTTAATCTTCAAATTAGGGCAAATAGAAATATTTCGAAAGTTCTTTAAATATATTTTTAGCTTCAGCGGAATTAGCTTTTTCCCAAAAGAGATGACAGTGCATTCTGGATCGTTTGGAGGGACAAAATATATGGTGATAGGCGTCAAATATGTGAAAGAGTAGAAGTATCTACTATCAGATATCAACTTTTTAGACGACCAAAAATAAAATATCTCCTTTTTACATTAAACTTTTAATTTAAATGTGTGCTGCCATATTTCTTAATTCTTATCCCTACGACATGGGATTCGTGCGACTAGACCCAGGACTTTAGGAAATGGCTAATTAGCTGAATAGTGAATGTCTATACAAAGTCTTGTCTTGTGTGTTATTTGCCCATGGGCATTGGCCATGACTACGAGAGTTTACTGCAATAGCAACAAAATTTAAGTCAGCATTTCAGGGAAGCCTCAGCTGCCTCAACATATCAATTTTGTCCTGCATGAGAAATGTCATATGCACGTTTCTCTGGAGACACCTCCCCTTAGAAATGTCACACATTCTCATAGTTATCGATATTTTGTTGGTATAAAATCTAGTACACATGATGAAGGAAATTTTCTACTATTTTCTACGATCTTTTTTCGTTCTTGAGACATTTTAGTTTCATTTTATATGTAAATGAAATAAATCTATGGCATTATACAAGGGAGTAAAATCTTAGTTTCAAAGGTGGCAGTCTCGTTGAAGGTTCACAAATGATGAAATAATCCAAACTATATATTGTTGATTCCTTCCACCGACGTTACAGGCATACAGAAAGTTATGCAGCAAGCAGGCGCTCTCAGTTTATAAATTTGGTTTAGTTAAGGTTTCCTCCTGTAGCTGGTAACACACTGGACCAATGAAGGATGGTCCTTACTGGACCTTTAAGGAGAAGAGTTTAGACCTGACAATATACAGGCTAAAGTTTCCTAGCTACAGCTCCAGTACTTACATAATACTTTGAACTTTAGTTGCTAACTTGTATAATAATGTATTGTATGTTATTCGTTCGTAATTTCGGCCGAAAGTGGTGCATTTTCCCGTGCGTAATACAAATTAATACAAAATTTGCAAATTTCGCAGGGCTATATTTTCCGCATCTTACAACATTTCGCAACAAAACTTTGCAATTTTACTAATTTTAACATGCTCTTTCTAGCTGTGGTGATGGATTTTGTTCTTCTTGCCCAGATCAAAATTTATTAAGCAGCTGGAATCATCCATTACGCCTTACGGTTGGCAAATATCTTACCTATCATCTGTTGTAATTTGTTTTGATGATGAAGTTATTAAAAAAAAATTTTAAAAGGTTTTAACTAGTATTTTTTTATAATAAACGGCTGAAGTATTTTGTTTTTAATTTTCTTTGTTAGTTTTGTTCAGAGAAAGAGGGCGACAAAAAACATTCAAATCCTACAGACAGAATGTCTGTGCCCCCGCAAGCTTGCAATAATTAGTTAGTTATGCATGCAGTATTAAAATTCTTCAGAAACTGAGATAGTGTTCTATTTGGGTCCGCAACTTGCGAGACGCCCAAAACAGGACTCAAAAACATACGAGTATGAATATAATGAATACATTGAAGGTAACATTTTAACACTTAAGTTCCTATTCAGGTAAAATTCTGTCACATCTCACACCCCAACTACAGCTGCCGTTGGCAAGATTCCTGAATGTATATCAGTTAAATATTTCTCAACGAAAATCTGCACGAAGAAAATACAGGTGATTAACGGTGAAGGAAACAAAAATACGACGGTTTGCGGAACGACCAACCCCTAGAATTGACCCCCAATGTACACCATTTCTACTGTGATCACAGAATCTTCGGCCGATAATGTAAACCTGGCTGAAGGCATGGAACCAATTCACAGCGATCGAATTTTAGATTCTAGGAGATTCTCGTCTTGCAAGGAATTCTTATTTCTGATAACAGCTTAGTACTTTCGACATGTGGTACTATCAGGCTTTTAGCCAGAAGGGCGTCCAGGCATCCTGGGACGCCCCTAGAACAAAAGATGAACGCCTTCGGACGTCCAAATTCTGGGGGAAAAGGGAAATTATTTTCAATTATTTCCCTAAGTATATTAATATATCTGAAACGAAATAGCTTCAATTCTCATTATTATTATACATTTGACATTTTGATCAATTTGATGGTGTACCTGGCTGAATGAAAATGTCGTAGTTAAGTAAAGAAGCATAGCGGCACAAACTCACAAGGCCAAATGTGTTTGAAAAATTTCGAACGAGCTTGGAACAGATACTGACATGAAGTAACGTAAACTTGAAAGGTTTTCCAGAGGAACGTTTTCTCGAACCCTCCCCACCCCCCTTCTTTACTGTAGATGTATCGTTGTACCAAAATTGGACGTCCTCTTTAGGACCCTGGCTAAAAGCCTGGGTACTATAAAGATTAGCACGAGCAAAATCTCCATGAGAATAGGATTTTCATTCGGGACAATCCAAAGCCTACGTGCACCTTCAACTAGTCCATATGTCAATCTCTCGAAAATAAATCCAGCGTCCTTGATAGACAATATTAATTCTGACACAGCGAGCTTTGCGTCCATTCAACGTCACATCTATCCTCCCAAATCTAAACTCTCCTACAATCTCGTAGTCTGAACAGCGGCCTGTCTTGACAACAACCTCACTGACGTCCAATGTTGCGCTCACGATAGCATCGCGTTCTGCAAAGTTCGCTCCTGTCTCGACTACGATCCTCTTGAGTTTTGTCTCTCTCTTCAGATAAATATTATACATCTTATTCCCCGCCGAGGCAAAGCGCCCATGAAAGTGACCATCGCCTTTCGTATAAGCGTCTAAAGGTTTGCCATGAATTGGAGATAAATCTGACGATATTTCCGCGGGGGGATTCAGCCCAGCATACTTTTGATCAAATCGATCGAAATATTTCTCCTTCAAAGTGTTTGGTCTTTGAGATTCTTTCGGTCTGAAAGACGAGATAAGGCCAATATGTTGAAATAGTGATGCAGCTCTGCATTTGGTCTCGCGAGGATCCTGCCCCCGATATTTCTTCCATCGTGGTTCCAGCCAATCCACTGGCATTTCATCAAAAAACAAGCGTAGATACGAAGCCAAGTTTTGGAGCTCTCGTACTGGATACAGTTTACCAATGTAACCAAGTAGTGCAACATTCAGAGAAATCCACTCAGATTTCTGAGAATTAATGAAGTCGGCAATCTTGGAAAGAAATTGTGGGCTTGCAATGACGTCATCTTCAAGTTGTAAGTAGTATTGTGAGACATAGCTGCAGTAACACATGAGATAGACGTAATCTAACGCTTGTTTTGACCTCCATAATACTCTGTCCATGTGGTCGCCTGAAATATGAAATATATGTTCATGTGAAATTCAACAAGAATTTATTTCCTAGATCATTTTTCAACTTTCTTCCAGGGAGGGATAGGAAAATAATTTCATATGGAAGCGGGTGCTTTTGGGGCAAGGCATAGTGAGGGGGGGGGGGGTTCAGGAGGGGTGCCTAACCCTTCCAATTGTTATGTCTATCACTATCAGCACAATTTCAACATGACATATCTGTACAACGTTTTTGACAAAACATTTTTTGAAAACATCAAAATTTCCTTACAATATGGCACCTTCAATGATAATATAATTAGCAGCAACATTAGCTTGTACAAAAAGGACACTATTCATCACAAAAAAGGCATTTTGAACAATTTTTTTTTTGGGGGGGGATGTGCCGCCTGTACCCCCCCCCCCCTCACAGTTCCTATGCCCCTGTTCAGAACAGTTACAATATTGATGCACCATGTAAATATGAAACATTCTTGTAGATATTAAAATTACCTAAGAATACTTATCAAAAATTATAAATTGTTATTGGCCCAAACCACGCCCTGTCACACGTCTGCCAGGTCCACTTTGTTGGCGAAGGTGAGGTGTGGATCCCAAAGTGCATGGCCTTCTGTACACCCCAAGTATGTTCACTACTTACCTAAGCTGCGATGTAGGTCTCGCAGTGGTACATAATAATCTGATGGTGCCTGGATGATTTGAAGTACGCCCATGGTGATGTACTTCTCAAATGTCACAGCAATATCCGACAGTTGACTTTGTTTGACGTCAAAATCAGCAAGAAATACAACGATGGTGATGTTCTCTCTTTCATCTTCACTGATGGCTCCAAGGATGCTTGCCAATGTCTTCTTGAGGTAAGATTTTGTTTTTCGCCCAATGCTTGGGATACCAACAGATAAAAATCCTCAATCAAACACAAAAAAAATTAATATATATAAAATGTCAGAAAACACCACCACAATAATTTTGGTTCACAATTTTATATTACGTTAAAATCTCACAACTTGTCAACAAGATGTGTTCGCAACACGCTTGTAGCAAGCTTCATGTCCACAAGTTGTAACAATGCTGTTATTTTGACAAGCTGCTACAAGGTCATTGCTGACAAGTTGTTGAATTGTAGGACGATAACAAGTTGTTGGAACAACTTGTAACAAGTCTGTTGAACTCAACAACCTTATAGCAAGTTGTCAACAATTAGCTGGGAACAAGCAGTGCGAACACATCCTGTTGACAAGTTGTTGGAACAGCATTGCTGTAGCCTACTGCAAGTTTGTTACAACTTGTGCGTTTTAACGTTATTAAATACAGAAAATCACTGGAAATCAGAAAATCAAATTACAATCATTTTCTTCCATGGAAGTCTTACTTTTTTGTCCAAATGCTTCCTTGCCCAGCAATAAAGTGTTATTTCTGTGATAATAATTCTCTTTTGGACAAAAATCCAATGACGTCAGATGAAGTGACTTCATTTTTTTAACCACATCAAGCTCTTTCTTGTGTGGGTTCACTGCTAGAACACAAAATAGATTAACTTTTTTACAGATATGTAATTGAACACTACAGTATAACCAAAAGCAATTACTGCCTGGGTGACTCCGTGACTCCCCCCCCCCCCCTAATTTGGCCCAGAATTCAAATAAGAGTGCGTTTAATTAAAAAAAGATTTTATCAACTACTATTCGTCACAATACCTTCAGTGTTCGCTTTAGAAGACGCAGAAGCCATCATTTCAGAGAACTGGCCATTTTTGTGGCTTGATAATTGGTTGGCTTGCAAAACAACTTCGCTCAACGAAGACAGAGCTTTATTTTCTTTCTCCGAAATATTACATTCTCCGTTAAAACACAGCAAATTTAATAACGAAACACAACAACACGCTAGAATCGAAACTACGAGCAATTTCCTAAAGAAAACACAACATTTTCGCCTTGGAAAGATCATTGTTGGCTTTAAATTGCGGGCAATATTTTAGGGTAATATTGGTTTCATACAGGCTGTTGCGGGCGTTAATATCATCTTGCATACTAATGAGTTCAAGCCTCAAATGATGAACTCTTACAAATACACAAAGAAGCATAGTTTTGCGCACAAAAGCTTCATTTGCTGCGATCTGCAAGGAGGGGTGCAGGTTTTCCATGGAGTGGTGCATGGGGGAGCCTTACTGCCCACCCTCCTCTGCAGTCTGCAACGCTACTATCCCAACATTTAATATATACCATCATTTGAGATGGCTGAATCTGCCGTGTCTGCAAGTTCGCCTTGGTTCGTCGGCGGTTCTGTTACGTTTTACATTATCTTTTGTTATTAATTAAAGTTTATATCTGGGCTCTTAGTCCTGTTTTGTGGTTTCCAGAGCATTTGACACGTCTAGTAGATCATTTAAAAAATGCTTTTGTATCGCTTGGTATAAATACCCGACCGGCATTTAATTCCCACAACAGTTCACTGAATTGTTTAGTATGCGGAAGGAATATGGGGCTTCTAAGTCGTAGAAGAATACCAACTTTAATTCAATTTATTTTGCTGATAACATTGGTGTTTTTAATGCTAACTTTCCTGTTAAGACCTGTATCAAATCATCCTGATGAAATAAAATATTTTGGACAAAATATAGGTGAGTAGCGAAAATTAAAAAAATATAATTATTTGTTGTTCATTGTCTAGGGTTTCACTTACTATAAACGTCTTGAGATATTTCTATAATGCAATAAATAAACAAACTATGCACTGTTAATGTAAGAAGGAAAGCGAACTTTATATCTTGAGAATTGATTTGCCGGATCATAATCGTATATATTAAAAGCGGCGTTTTAAAATAATCGCAAATATTGAAGCGCTAACTAAATAGATTAATTATTAAACCTATTAAGTTGCACATTGCCTTACTTTATTATTTTACTCTGTCTAACACCAGACAATTTTACTCATCAAAGGGGAGTATTAAATACAGCTTGATGCCATTGCAAACACAAATTGCAATGTAGTGTGTTGCTATGGTAAATTATTGTGTCCCTGTGGAATTTGACTCAGTAGCTTGGGGTGGGGGACCCAATCTAATATATTATAAATAGGACCTTTGCATAAGGTCAGAACTATGTCAAAACGAGTGAGGGAATGGCATGAAGAACAGTGGGGGGTTTCAAAACATCAAACATTCCGATCACTGGATCGTGACTGGATGGCAGCATTGTTATGCAAAGGCCATTCTACATTAATTGATACATTTTGTATGTTAAGGTACAGCAGCAGTGTTAAAGAGTGAAGGCTTGTCTCTATCATCTGCATGTTTATCAAGGGATATTTTGAACAGTCATGAAGTTCAACTGTACAGCAATAGATTGCCAAGTAAACAATGTAAGTTATTATGATCTAGTGTAGACAGTGGCAATAATAATAGCTTCAGATTGATAGCAATACAACTACCTGAAAAATACAAGGATACCTTCAACGTTTTAAGCAATTAAGGCCCTTCTTTGGGAAGTTTGTGACAAAGGGCCCAAACTCGAAATGTTGAAGTTCTCCTTGTATGTTCAGGTACAGTAGTTGCATTGCTATCATTCAACAGTGCCACAGAATACTAATATACAGAAGTTCATATCCATTGTTTTTGCGTAAGTGCTATTCGTCATGATTCGTCACTGAGCAAGTACCGTAACAGAAGCAGTCACCCCCTAGACGGTACTTGCCGAGTGACGAATCATGTTGATGGACTTCTGTATAGTATCCTGTGCCAGCGCTCCCCCCTTGACAAGTAAATCATCTGGCATTAGACAGAGTAAAATAATAAAGTCGGGCGCATCAGCGCACAATGCGACTCAGTGAGTTAACTAGACACATAGGCAAATTAACCAATTAAGCGCCAGCACTCTCCCCTTGACGAGTAAAATCGTCTGGCGTTATAAAGTAGGGCGCAGTGCGACTCACTGGGTTTATCACTCAGCCAAGCGTAGTCAGTAAGTTAGTAAGCCATTCAGTGAGTTACACCTTTCTCGTTTTATTTTAGATTATTTAACTATTGCTATCCCAACAATTGCTCGTGAAATTGGCAACAAATATCTGATGAAAACATTGAGCAGTCTCACTACAAATCAAACTGTAGGAAGAAGCAAAACTGATTTACTTATTGTAGTACAACTTGGAGATGAAGATCAAGACAAGCGAACAAAACTAGCCGCAGAAATAAAAGAGAAATATGCACATTTAATAAATGAGGGGATTTTGGATATAATCCAAGTGTATCCTAAGTATTATCCTTCGTTTGATAAGCTTAAACGAAGGTTTGGAGACAGCAAGCTCAGAGTTAAGTGGCGATCAAAACAAGTCATTGATTTTTCATTTCTTTCATGTTATTGCTATGGTTTAGGGAAATATCATTTGCAGTTAGAGGATGACGTCATAGCATCGCCATATTACTATCACAAGCTGAAAGACTTCATTCAACACTACGAAGCCAAAGAGAAATGGTTTACACTCGATGCATCTGTACTTGGTTATATAGGAAAGGTTTATCATAACTACGACTTAAATGAAATTGCTAGTTTTTATTACATTTTCTTTGATGAAATGCCTGTGGACTGGATGGAATACACATGGAGAGAAATTAAGGGACAATCGGGACGATGGAGGTTTCGAGCAGCCTCGCTATTTCAGCATATTGGTCTTGTGTCGTCTTTACAGAATAAAAAACAGAAGTCAAAGGAACCATACTTTGATAACCAAACACAAAAATTCCTAGGTCTCAACCCCCCTGCAAAGGTACAAACAGATCTTATAGCAGAAAAAACAAAACTAAAGGCAGCCTATGAACAGGGGGGTGGGTATTTTTGGGGAAGGTGTCATCATAAATCTAACTGTTTTATAAAAATTATATTTGAGAAGGCTTTACCACTACAGCGGGTTGTTGTAGAGACGGGAGGAAACTTTGCTACAAATGATACTATACATCATGGTTCATTGAAAATTGGAACATATCCTAATATAAATGACTGCGTGCATTATGAAACGCCAAGTCCAGAGACCTTCAAAAAAGGAACTTTGGACATTGTGTTTCCACAAAAACAGACAGTGAATTGTTTAAGAATTGAAATTCAAAGACAGCAGGAGTGGGTTTTTATACGCGAAATTAATGTATGGCCAGGGAGATCTTAAAAAGATGGGAAGATCTGAAAAACATGCTGGGCAAAAATGGGGTGAAAAACAAATTTTAGTTTATATGGAGAAATATGACTAATATATTATAATTAGAGAACTTGAAACTTTTGTAGAAATAGTGTTTTAGTTGTGTTTTAAATTTTTAAGACAAAGTTTCGTTGAATAAAAATTTGTTTAGAACGATGACTGCTATTTCCAACTTGGTAATGAAAACGTTTTGAAATGTATAACGCTTACCCCAGGTGTCTAAAAAGTATTACTGGTAACGAAGACAATGAATATAACAGAGAACAAACCAAAGATTGATGTTCCCAACACGAGAAAAGGAATGAGTTCGTCATGGTCCCTCTGCATACCACTGACGCGAACAGCAAACACTGTCGTCAAGTTACAGAAACTGAAAACAGATAAAACACACATGCTGCAAGTCTGGCTCAATGGCAATAAGTCAGGGTTCGTACATGTCAGAGAGAATCAACTTCAAGGACTTTTCAAGGCCATCGCCAAATTCAAGCACTAAATACTGCAGAAAAGGGGTTAGAAATCAGTAAAATGTGACGTTGAATTGTTCAAAACACAACTTTAATGAGTTTCAAACAGCTTTGTCAGTTATGAACATGCAAAATCAATTCAACAAAATGTCCATTTTTGAATGTCAAACAATTTTAGAAAATATCCTAAAACTAAAGTAAGAAAAAATTAAGGACTTCAAGTACTTCTTTACATATTCAAGGACATTGTTTTCAAATTCAAGCACTTTCAAGGAGTTTTGTACGAAGCCTGATAAGAAAGCTTCGGATTGATACAGATACAACTACCTTTGTTGGAAACCTCGAAGTTCTCCTTGTATTTTTCACGTAGTTGTATCCCCTATCAACCGAAGCTTTCTTTGGCACTATATAGCTACACTGGCACAGATCGTCAATGGCAATAGAAAGAAATAAATGGCGTAATATATCGCGATGCACGGATAAAAGCTATTAAATGAAGTAAAAAACAACCCTGTAACCGAATTTACACCAGAGTAGAAAGAGATCGTCAACAAGCATTATCCGTCCTGTTAAACTGTCCAAACAACTAGCTAGAATGGTATTCTCTATACTGACAACGCTTGGAAGTCATACCGGACCTATATACTAGTCTAACCTCCGTATGAAGGGGGCTATGAAGGAATAATACGGCTGATCATTTTCTTTGTATGAAACCTGGTTTACACAATCAAAGTTTCTGTAATCACAGTAGGAATTTTGCATAGGTAAATTCTAAGTTTTGAAGGATTTGTACGAAATGTTTGAGGTACCTTTCTTGCAAATCCTTCAAAACTTAGAATTTCCCTCTGCAAAATTGCTATACTGTGATCACAGAAACTTTGATAGTGTGAACCATGCTCAAAGATAGTTGATTTCATCATTTTGATCTGTCATAGACTCATAGACATACCATGAAAACGAAAACATGTGAGAAACTAACCTGTACTCGGGATCAATAACAGTAGCTTTGAAAACATAAACTCCTTCACTTTCCCAAGTCAACGCTGACAGACCAGTCTCATTCAGAATTTCGTAAGGTTGGTACATGTTACCATTTTCCACATTGTCAAAACAACTTTGGTAGTTCTAAAAGAAAGCATTACCAGTCAATACCAAGTGAAACGACATGAAACTTTGGCAACTGGTCTCTGTAGCACAGAATAATTGTTATTCTATGTCTAGTGTAGCTCAGTTGATCTCACTGACTTTCCCCTTGATGAGTAAAATACCTGTGGTGTCCAAGCAAATGAAACATCTGACAAATGTTTGATATCATCAATCATCTTCTGGTATGTCTGAGCTTCACGAAGACAGCCAACCTAAATTTGATGATACTTAGAAGTGAAAAATATAACAATTATATGACAGAATCATTTAGTCATGCATGTTTAAAGATTATGTGAATCACCTCGGCCATGGTTGCAACAAATGAATAATCAGTTCTCCCATTCAACTCAAACACAACATAACTCGCGCTCACATTTCTCAGAAATTCCCCGTTCTCATATCTAGAAGCAGTTGTAGAAATTTGCCAGAAAATAACTATATGAATGAATCTTTGAAAAGGAAGAGAAAAGACTGAAGAGAAAAGCTGTTGCTTACAGTTGTAGTTTGGGTTTAAATATGTCGTAATAATTTCCTTGCAGAGGACAACCAAGAGATGTGAAGTCATATTGCACTGTCTAAACAAAAACATCACGGTCATGCAAATACACCCTTCTGGAAAGCACTAGACTATCAGTGCTTAGCCATGACTATAGAGCTTCATTTATTTAGAGCCTTGTTACTTCTATCGTGTTACTATGAACATATTACTTGTATCTTATCACTATAAACAGCTTCACTGATATAACTGCATGTATGATTTCGTAAATGAGTCATTTGTAACAAGATATAAAGAGCTCCAAATATTACGAAAACGAGGTTCTGTAGGTATTCGTAGAGTATAGGTCAAGATATCTTGCAGACATTATCGCCCGTATTCTAAAAGCTCACTCGCACTCAATGAGTGGAGGTTCAATCTGAGCTTCTCTCGAGTCGCACTGCTGTTTTTGAATAGCTAGAGGCCGGGCCAGTGCATGTCATACCTTACTATGTGACTACTCACCCGCCAGCTATTCAAAAACAGCATTGTCATTGACACTCAAGAGAAGCTTATATTAAACCTCCACTCATTGAGTGTGAGTGAGCTTTTAGAATACGGGCGTTAGTCACAAAGCCAATATAATCGTTGGAACAGCAGGCGAAAGTAAAGAGTCAATCTTGAACGTTATCTGTGCCAACATAGGTAGTGGCAATAATAAGAAAGCTTCGTATTGATAGGGACACAACTACTCGAAAAATACAAGGAGAACTTCGACGTTCTGAGCGAAGGCCCTGCGTCGTGAAGTTAGTAGTCGGTAGAAGTTGGTAGCCTTCCCGATGGAGAGTCTTCGCTCGAAACGTCGAAGTTCTCCTTGTATTTTTCAGGTACAGTTGTATCCCCATCAATCCGAAGATTTCTTAAAGTAAAGAGTTACCTTGGGCGTGGTAGCTGGAGAAAATGGTGAGATAAAGTCTGAGCGGTAATGACCACTAAAAAGTATAACAATTGGAAATGATATTTTTCTGTGTTGGTGTAATGTACTCAGGTGAATATGATGCTTGTGATGTTACTCTGAGTGTATACCCACACCGGGCAAGCTTGAAAAATATGCCTGGCCACGGTGTTCCGAAATATCGCATACTCGAACCGATCTGACCGCGTAGAGTTGGCAGAGCATTGGGCTAGTATTCCAAAGGTCGTAGGTTCGATTCCCACCGTGGTCAGGCATATTTTTCAAGCTTGCCCGGTGTGGATATACACTCAGAGTAACATCACAAACATCAATTGGAAATATAGGAGAAAGTTTTGGAGAAACATTGCTTGATATTGGAAATGCTATCATTGGCGTAATGTCGCACCTTGGTATAGTGAAGGTATAGTTTTCAAACGCAGGGCAGTTTTCCACAGACCTACAAATATTAAAGAACGAAAAATAAGTATATAGAGTAACATTAGATTCAATGTGTACTGTTTGTGCCCATCTTAATTTTCTTTTCACTATGTGTTGTAGAAGTTTAGAAGCTACAATCATGTGTTGTAGAAGTTTAGAAGCTACAGTCATGGCTGAAATTCCTCCTTTTTCGCCTGTTTACACGCAAATTCGTCCGGTTCCGCGAAAAAGGACGAAGTTCCCCCCCCCCCCCCCCCCTACAATGTTGCATGTTATGTTAGTGTCCACACTAGAAGGAAAATGATAAAATTATCGTTTGACAATAACGATTTTAAAATAAAATATTTTTTTTCAGTCGCACGATCAGCTTAAAATACTAAATACTTGGCTAATACATATAGTGATTTGTAACTTCTTTGTTGTGGATGTATGTGCGGGGATGTGTTTGTACGGTTGTATTAATTACTAAATACAAAACACTAGAGTTTTAACATTTTTTGCCCGTCCAAAGTTAGTTTAGTTCAGGTTTCCTCCTGTGTAGACGGGCCTCTGGCTAAGCCCATGGCAATGACAGATTCAATTCAAGTCATACAATTCTGTCTCCGCGCGCGCTGTCCACAATAGTTTTGTCAGGATTGTAGCTATAGATGCTTAATTTGACATTTAACAAATATAAAACATTTTCCGTGTTGATGTACAGTTACATCAACACTCGTGGAAATTGGGAAAACGAGAAATTGTGTGGAAACACGACGCCCCAAGGGCGGAGTGTTTTCACACAATTTCGAGATATCACGGAAATCATAGATATCACGGAAATCATAGATATATTTGTTTTATAATATAGCACAAAGAAATATAAAGAAAGACATTTTCCAACGTTTCTGTGTTGACATTGAGTTATATCAACACGGCTCTTAGCCAATCAGCGTTCAGAATTTACAAATGCTACATTATAAATAAATATATAATTTCCACGTAGTACAGTGCACGTTCAAAACTACCTGTAAACACTTATATTTCGTCCGGGTGGGCAACCAACAATAATTTCAGTTTCCTAGCAATTGAAAAGATATAAAAGCACGCCTATTATAAAAGCACTAATGAGTAACGGCCTGCATCTGTGTCAATTCTTATTGTTTTTAAAAGTTAAGTGATATTTTAACGAGTTATGCTGAAACTCACCACACGCAATGTTTCATCCTGGGATTCTTCAAAAATTCCGACATGGAAAGTAGCATTGCCAGTTTTATCTTGTGTAGAACTGAAACAACACGAAAGCATACAGCATCTAACGCATGTATTCTAAAAGCTCACTCACACTCAAAGAGTGGAGTTTCAATCTGAGCTTCTCTTGAGTGTCAATGCTGTTTTTGAATAGCTGGAGGGTGAGTAGTCACATTGTAATGTACGACATTAACCATCCAGCTATTCAAAAACAGCATTGACACTCGAGAGAAGCTCAGATTGAACTTCCACTCATTGAGTGTGAGTGAACTTTTAGAATACGGGCGTAAGTCTCACAGGTTGTCAACAAGATGTGTTCACATTGCTTGTTCCCAATCGTTGACAAGTCTGGAACAAGTTGTTATCATCTTGTAACAAGGTTGACGAGGCCAACAGACTCGCAACAAGTTGTTCCAACAAGTCTGATATCGTCTGCACGTAACAAGTTGTTCACAAGTTGATGACAACAAGTTTATAGCAACTTGTTAGGAACAGCCTGTATTAGTCTTGTTGGAACAACTTGTAGCAAGTCTGTTACCGTCATCAACCTTGTAACAAGATGATAACAACTTGTTCCAGACTTGTCACAACAACTGGGAACAAGCAGTGCGAACACATCCTGATATCGAGTTGACAACAACCTTGTTACAACTCTTGTTTGCAAATCTGGAACTTGTGCGTTTTTACGTATGTACTGCAGCTATGCTGAAATACACATTTCTAATATACCGTACCTTGTATTGGCATTTCTGGGAACTTGTGATATTTGAACTGTCTAAATAGATATTGATCACATAAAACTTAATGAATAATTGGTATTTTCGTCATCCAAAGTTCCTGGGAGGTATTTCATGTACTCACCATGTTGCGAGTGACAACGCCTTTTGAGACTACATCTTCAACACACGACGCATTCAACTCCAGCAAGAATGGATCAGATATACCAGGCTAAAAATGTGTAAATCTTAAAACTAACATACCAACTACCTGTATTAACGGCTGCTTTACACTATCAAAGTTTCTGTGATCACAGTAGGAATTTTGCAAAGGTAAATTCTAAGTTTTGAAGGATTTGTAAAAAATGTTTCAGGGAACTGACTTCGTGCCTTCAACACTATTTTAACACTGTTTAACACTGAGTCAGTTTCCTCAAACATTTCATACAAATCCTTCAAAACTTAGAATTTATCTATGTAGTGTAATGCAGGCTTAAGCAACTATTCTTCTAAAGTCTAAACAGTAGCCATTGTATTCTAGTGTAGAGGTTTTAATACCTGGTACATTCAACTTACAATCAATCTGTTATCTTGCCATGGGAATGGAACAACCTTGGCCCACACCTACAATGTTAATCCATGACAAAACATGGTTGGCAAATATTATATTCGTTTTTCTTATATTATACAAGATTTATTTTTTGGCAAAAATCTTATATTATTCTCATTAATTATTCTACTTTGAAGTTGGCAATTTGGTCCAACCGTCCAAGTTATTTTGAAGTTTGAGTTGTTGTACTGTATTGTTTACAATATGTATTATTCTAAACTTGACTGCATCATGGACATCATAAAAGTTTAGTAAGAAATCTCATATTGTAAGAAATCTTCTTCTATTAATATAAGAAATAAGATTTTATTTTTGAAAAAATCTTCCTATATCCAATTCTGTGACAAGATACTAACCACTATATATATCGTGCAGCAGTTCAGAAATACTGTTGCTTCTTTTTTTATTTTATGTAGTCTCTTGTATTTGGAAGCAAATAAATAAAATTGGGAGACGTAGTTTAATTCTCTTGCAGCAGTGAGCCAAATAAAATAATAAATGCATACTTAAAGCCAGCATTTCAAGTAATTCTTGAAATCAGGAATGTTATATGCGAAGGTTTTTATCTTTTGACTACCTGTATCGTTTCATTCTTGTCCAAGAAATAAGTTTTCTGCATGTTGTCAACAAATGATTCATACTAGAAAAGACAAAATCATTTAAACAAACCAAAGTCTAAACTTATTATAACTTCTCAAAAACTTCACAAATGGCGTTTTCAAGTTGAACTGGAAAGCAAAGTCCCATACGTTTGCACTTGTAATAACAGCATGAGTGTCTTCACTGAGCACGGTGTATTTAAAAAGATTTAAATAAAATACAAAAACAACTTGAATAAAAATTTCCGCCATCTTGTCATTTGAAATTTCCCGCGAATTGGCCCACAGTTTATCTAGCCAGCGGAAGGTGCACATTGGTTACTTTATTTAAAAACTTTATATATACATACGAAAAATCTTACATTTATAGTTACATATAAAAATATTACTGTAGCTCTGCAGCGTCGTACATCTATTTAAAACATATACTTTCTAAGTATTAATTAACTTAATTTATAGTAAAACCTTTACAAAATATGTAAGCTATAGTAAATTTTCTCCTTGCTTATTCAATGTTTCATGACGGCTTGTTGACAACATAACACTTGTTGGTTACAACAGTTTGTGAAAAATGCGGTCCAATTTTCACGCTAGCTTGTAGAATATAACAAAGAATATTATACCTCACAATGAGCTTGTCCAATCAGAGAACTAAATTTGTACCACATGACCATGGTATTTTTCAGCGAATACTATGACCTAGGCAATTTGAACCCTGGGTGTTTTACCCGGGGCCATGGTATTCGACTTCGAATACCACGCTTGAGCGGGAAATTCGACTTTTTTAAATGTAAAGTTATCAAAAGTTGTGTTTTGAAATTGAAAGTTAATTGAATGGTATTTGTTTTCTACTTATTTTTGAAAGGTTCGGTATAATATACCATTTATAGACCTTTCACTCGGGGTATCCCACAAAAAATTACCCACATCCCTCAGGGTAATTTTTTGTGGAATACCCCGAGTGAAAGGTCTATAACTGATAATTGTTTCTCTATTTTTGTTGTCGTCGTGAATTCTCATTGCAAGAATGGTATGCATTATTAGAAATTTTAACCGGAAAATAAATTAATTTGGAGGCAGAAACTCGATGTGAATTTCCTTGTCAAAGCGAGGGCGGCCTCGTTAAGGATGATTGATGATTTCATAATCTCGTATCCGGGAAATGTTGATATTTGAAAGATCTGGAAGCATCAATATCGTCATAATCTGTCCACGTCTTGTCATCATCGTCCTACAACACAGAAAAACATGAGATTGTTCGAACTGTAAAGACAAGATGGTCTCACTAAGGGAGTCGTCACCAAAGAGAAAAGGGTTGAGTAAACAAAATTTTGAGTCAGTAAAAGGTTAATGAGAAACAACTCAAGGGTTGGGTAATAAAAATTTATTGTCATTTCCAAAGCATGACTCACTCAAATATTGAAGACTAAAAAGCATGAATGTCAACAGTTTATATGTCAATACAATATGTAAATCAATCAGAGTCATTATCTTGACCATTTTTCGATTTGTCGGGAGGCAAATGGTGTTTCCAAAGTCAAAGAAAGTACATGTGTAGACAACATGAAACTTTAGAAGGCAGAAAATTGCACAAGCAGTTATCAAACTTATGTCACAGAAGTGGTAAAGGACATGTGTGATAACTGAATGGTATCCTTTTGTAACGTTTTTGGCCAGGGGTGGGTATTTATTTTTTAAATGATATTTGAGGTTGGGTAAAAACGTTTTTTTGATCGCCTTTTTAATGATTGGACGAGCAAAATTTTTACCAAGAAAAAAAACACATTTCTCTTTGGTGTCACCCCCCCCTCCTCGGTGGTCAACCCGCAGTATCAAGATTTCAACTCATCAATTGATCGTTTCAAAGAAGTTATTTTTCTAACCTTTCCACGATAAGGATAAGATTCATTTTGTCCTTCATAACCTTCCCAGTCCAGGCTGTCTTCATACTTCGCCTTCTCTGAATCTCCGATGAAAGTTGATGCCCTACTGCTTCTGTCGTGATTGTAGTCAACCTGAACGATGAGAAAATCAAAACAACTATCAGAAAATTGCAAGGGTCGCTGAAGGACACCCTGGACCAATTTTAAACCAGCACATGTGGTGTCGTGATCACCACGCTTTCAACCTGGGGGACCTGGGTTCAATCCTTGGTCAGACCTCTACTCAAGGTTTTAAAATAATTGAGGAGAAAGTGCTACCTTTACATTGACATCAGTAAATGGTTAGACTTTCGCGTCTTCTCGGATAAGGACGTTAAATCGTAGGTACCTCGAATCCCTTATCAATTGGGCAATGGCCTGTTGGGAAATCCGCTCACCAATGAGTGAGAAACTCAATAAACTAAACTGTGACTCGAGTATATTGGTATTCTGCTTAGAGGTATCAACGTGCCTAGGCATGTTTGGATTATCTGTATTAGGGGCGGACCATTAGAAAAGTGATGGGGGGGGGAGCAAAAAAGTTTGAAAAAAAAATCCGTGCAGAGACTTTTCAATAGGGAAAATTATAAGTTGAAATAAAAAAAATTCGAGCGAGGGTTATATTTAAAAAAATTATCGACACAAGCAAAAAATGTTGAAAAAAATATTCGTACAAGTTGAAAAAGTCCCCCCCCCCCATCACTTTTCTAATGGTCCGTCCCTAAAACAAACACGTAAGAATAAAGCATGTAAATGAGCTTACCATCCCAAGATTAAAATGAGCTTCACTTGGTGTATAATTACTTGACGATGACGCAGCCGTTGACCGTGACTTGGGGCGCATAGGTAAAGGATCTCGCTCTCTCACAAATACCGTCCTATCCCCACTTGTCCTCCGTAGACACAGAGCAACCACAGCGAACACAGCGAGAATCAAGAGTACCGCTACAAGGACTAGGAACCACACTGTCTTATACCACGTGTCACTCTCCTCGCTTTTTTGTCTTAACACTCCTGGGGAGATCAGATATTTCGTCTTAAATTCAGGCTAGGATATACTGATTGATTGATAGGTTTTGTTTTAGCAAGTGTAGTAAGTATTGGGAATACAGCAAATGCCATGGGGCAACACACACGTAAAAATGTCACAACTTGTCAACAAGATGTGTTTGCAACAGGTTTGTAGCAAGCTTGTCAACAAGTTGTAACAATGCTGTTATTTTATCAAGATGCTACAAGGTTGTCACTCACAACTTGTTGACACATTGTTAAATTGCAGGACGATAACAAGTTGTTGGAACAACTTGTAACAAGTCTGTTGAGCTCAACAACCTTGTAGCAAGTTGTCAACAAGCTGGGAACAAGCAGTGCGAACACATCCTGTTGACAAGTTGTTGGAACAGCATTGCTATAAGTCTGCTGCAGGTTTGTTACAACTTGTGCGTTAAGAAAACTAAATTAAATATCTCAGTTCTACTTGTTTGTCACCAAACACAAGACTATACTGCATACAATGAAAACAATTAACGTTATTTTAGTGCTAGTGAAACTACATATAGCTTTATGTTAAAAATTAGAGTCAAAACAAAGCGCGGTACTTACGTCCTTGGTAGTTGAAAGGAACAGATTTAACAGTCCTTTTCTCACCATTAACCGTCGTTGTCGCACTGACCACGTAGATATATTCTATAGAACGTGAAAATATAACTCAGTCAGTTCTAAAGTGTTCTCCAAAAGCTCAGATAATATTTGAGCCCTAAACTCAGGTTCCCAGAGATAAAAACATTTTCCAGCTTTGTCTTACACTATAACCATTCTGCTCCAATATCCTAACTTCATTGTTACTCAAACCACAGGAATTATCTGAAGGCAATTCTATTAAATGCAAAAACGATATCCTTGTTAACCCTGTACATACCTGAGTCTGCTCTGCCCGGCAATTGACCGCTGTTCAAGCTTGTGCCACGAAATATGAGGAAGTCATTCTCACGTAAAATATACTCAAACAAAGGACTGTTCAACTTGAATGATTTACTCCAGTCAATGATGATTATATCTCCCGTCTTGTTGGCAACTGGCAGTCCAATATACACAGGATCTGGAAAATAAACCAAGATTGTTTGTTTTACGCTCTTCGAGACTTGAGAATCAGAGATGATGATTACTAGTATATAGCTGGGTTGTACGATATATCGTGCAGCAGATGCTGGTCAACCTGCAGTAATCATGCAGAGTGAGAAAATAATGTTCATTCTTTCTATTGTATGTAGCACTCACGTAAAAATCTCATATCTTGTTGCAAGTCTGCCAACAAGCCGTCAACAAGTTGTGTTCACACTGCTTGTCCCAAGTTGTCAACAAGTTTGGAAAAAGCTGTTAACAGTTGTAATAAGTTTGTTAATATTATCAGACTTGTCGCAGACAAGTCCGATACCGTCATGATATAACAATATTGTTACAACCTTGTGTCGTCAACCTTGGAACATTCTTGTTATATCATGACTGTATCATGACTGTATCAAACTTGTTAGAACAACCTTGTAACAAGTCTGATAATGTCATCAAACTTGTTACAAGTTGTTAACAGCTTGTTCCAAACTTGTTACAACAACTGGGAACAAGCAGTGCGAACACAACTTGTCGACAGCTTGTGAACAGATTTGTAACAACATGTTTGCAGACCTGTAACATGTGCGTTTCTACGTGCGTACATAGATCTAACCATTGATATCCCACAGAATACCTGAAGGCCCTGTCCGTTTCCTGACTGGTGCAGAATCAGCAGAATATTTTTCGTTAAATATTTGAATCACAATCTCATACACGGAGTAAGGTTCAAGGCCAGTGATGACGTAACTCGTGTTCAGGCCCACGCCGACCGCGGTTTCCGACACAGCGCGTTTACTCACACAATTGTCTGAACAGATGAACTTGTAAACGACGGAATATCTAGATAATGATAAATAATGAATGGAGATCAATTCTAAAAGGAAACGCAGTTATTAGACTGAATTGTTATATGTACTGACATTGCATTTGGTGGCAAATACACGCGTAAAAACGCACTACTTGATAAAATAACAACATTGTTACAGCTTGTTGACAAAGAGTTGTCGACAAGTTGTGTTCGCACTGCTTGTTCCCAGTTGTTGTAACAAGTTTGGAACAAGCTGTTAACAACTTGTAACAAGCTTGATGGTATTATCAGACTTGTTACAAAGTTGTTCTAACAAGTCTGATACAGTCATGATATAACAAGAATGTTAAAAAGTTGATGACACAAGGTTGTAACAATATTATTATGTCATAATTGTGTTGGACTTGTTGGAACTGTTAACTTGTTGACTTGAAACAAGCAGTGCGAACACAACTTGTAGACGGCTTGTTGGTAAACTTGCTACAAGACGTGTGCATATGGAAACACTCAGCATCATTTAGTCTCTCATGTAAGCGTGTAGCAATACCTAGTGATGAGAAAACTGGGCCAGAAGACAAAGCAACTGGAAAAAATGCAAAAAAAAAATACAAAAACGTTTCAAACCTTTTAATTTCCCCACTAGGCTTGCTTGGTGGTTGCCAGTTCACTTCAATACTGCTCGCTGTGACTTCGCCAAATGTTGGTTCTTCAACTTTGCCTGGTTGCCCTGTGCCAGTCTTGCTTGATATTGCCTGACCAGGTGTACAACCCGCAACAGTGCAGGCTACCACCCGCAGGGAGTAGTCAGTATACGGTTCAAGGTTTCTGATGGTTCGTTCAAGATGTGTGCCTTCCGAGACATTCTGCTCATTCACTTGCACTATATACTTCATAATAATACCATTCGCTCTGCCTGGGGGATCAAACGCTACAACAAGGGATGTTTGGGTCACTGTTAGGATACGAGGGGCTGAGACTTGTTCAGGAGGGGCACTGCGAGTTGTAACGGTTGTCCAATCACTAGTCATCATTCCTGCGCTGTTAGCAGCGGACACTCTGTATTGATATTTCTGATATGGTACGACTGTGGTGTCGCTATAGTTGAACGCCAGCCCAGAATAGACTTGAGTACTGCTCTCTCCATTATCATGAGTACGATGTACAATATATCTCAATATCACTCCATTTGGAGTCCTAGGCGTGACCCACGTCACTATCAACGAACGTGCCATAACAGTTTTATCTGGGATAACAGGTGCAAGTTGCCCACGCGGGGCTCCCTCGAACGTTCTCGTGAACTCCACGTCACTATCCGCGCACGAGGGATAGTTCGTACATGCTCGTATACGAAAACTATATAGAGTGTAATACTTCAAGTTGCGTGCAATGTAAGTCACATTTGAACCAACATTCACCTGAATATTGTTGTATAACACCAAGTACTCTGTGATGATACCATTAGGTTTCGCAGGCGCTGACCAAGAGACTTGTATTTCAGTTCCACTTAAGGGGGTTAGTTGAGGTTTGGTGACATTCTCTGGTGTGCCGGGTGAAGTACGATCTGTGTAGAGGACTGGGCTCGAGACATGCCCGGCTGAGTTGAATGCAGTCACGTGGTAAGAATAATGAGTAAATGGTTGAACATTCAAGTCTTTGTAACTCACGTCTGAACCATTATACACCATTGTACCATTTCTGTGTAGAGTGTAATACAAGATGACGCCATTCGGTTGCCGTGGTAATGCCCAGTTTATCTCCACGATCCTGGGACCGAATATAGTGTAGGTCGGTCTGTCGAGAACTGCCGGTTGTGCTTCGTGAGTCCTCGCCTCGCTCGAAGGCCCTGCAGTGCATCCAGTTTTAGTGCAAGCTTGTACATGAAATGTGTATGATGTATACGGCTTCAAGTTGGATACCACATAAGACATGTCAGTACCGCTGTATATATTATTATCACCCATGTATAGTTCATAACGTATTACAATACCATTTGATATCACGGGGGGTTGCCACTCTACGTTGATGGCAGAGGCTGTGAGTACAGTGAGACGGGGGGCGCGTACTGCTCCGGGTCGGTCTTCACCTGACTTCACAACAGTCCTAGGACTATGTGTACATCCACCCCCCGTACAAACTGTCAACCAATAACCATACAAGGTATCAGGGTTAACTGATGTATCTCTATATTGCAACACTGTGTAACCCCAATGGTTCACCACAGTTTTATTACGTCGTAATGTGTACGAGGTTATCACTCCATTTTGTTTCCCGGGGGGTGACCACGAGATTTCAATATTCAATGACGTCACTGCTTCTATTACTGGGGGATCAACAAGTTCTGGTGCGTCTTGCTTCGTTGTGACGCTGGCAACCCGCGATTCAGTAGCACCCGCAGAATTTCGGGCTCGAACTTTATATCCATATTTAGTATAAGGTTGAAGGTGGGTATTTGTGTATGTTGTTGTATTAGCATCGCTGCTATTATACACAGCAAACGGAGTATCCGCTCTGAATACTTGATATAAGATAATTCTACCGTTCGGAAGTGCGGGAGGTTGCCACTCAAGTGTGACGTATGTGCTATTTATAGCTGCAAATACAGGCGCCTGCAGAAAATCTGGCGGTATTTCAGCAGTTGTAATGAGCTGGATACTTCCTTTAGCACAGCCTGCTGAGGTACAAGCTTCTAGTTGAAATGTATACGATGTAAAAGGTTGCAATCGTCGCAGACTAAATGTCCTTGAAATGCCACTGTACACTTTAACGCCTTCTGAATAAACAATATAGTTTGTAATCCTTCCATTTGGCTCAGTCGGCTCGTCCCAGGAAAGAGTGAGCTCCCGGCCATTGCTATGTTTACTCGCGGTCAGAGGTCTGAGACCGACTGGTGGTGCTTCTAAAGTCTCCGCAAGTGTCCAACCGCTATACCCAGTCCCTCCAACCGTGCTGACTGCCAGTCGAAATTCATAGTTTGTACTAGGTCTTAGTCCACTCACGGTTACATTCTGTTCTGGGGTAGTGCTGCTTGCAACCAGTACTGTATCCCCTGGGGTGTTAACGCTCCGGGACCAAAGTTCGTATCGGGTAATAATTCCGTTAGGCTCGCGAGGTTCTTGCCAAGATGCAGTGACTCCAGTTGCATTGAATACATGTATAGTGGGGAGATAAAACCCGGCAGGGGCTCCTTCTCCCGTACGAACAGTTGCCCAGGCACTTCTAGTACTGCCAGCGCTGTTTATAGCACGTATCCGGTAGTCATAGTTCCGGTACGGCAACAGACCACTGTTTAGTGTCTGCCATACGAAAGGTCGTTTAGTTACGAACACGACAACAGGAATTGAAGACATTAAGCGTCGTTCTACTTCGTATTGCAAGATTATACCATTTGGTGCTTGCGGTCCACGCCATGTTACCTTGACAACCGCGTCGCTGAGGGCAAAGAGGCTGGGCGCAGGCTGGCCACTGGGCGCTGCCTCGAGTGTTCTAGCCTCGCTTCGGTTCCCGACTCCGCAACCTCTGAGAGTACACGCTTTGATTTGGAAGTTATAAACAGTAAAGGATTGTAAACCTGTGACGGTGAACCGAAGGCTGAGTCCTGCCTGGTGCTCTATTGCGGTGTTCTGTAAAACACTGTAGTTCCTGATCACGCCGTTGGGGTTAGCAGGCGCTGTCCACGTGACGAGAATGCTCTCAGGGGATTGTGGGGTTAATGATGGAGAGGGTATCCCCTCAGGAGTGCTTTGTGGTGTTGTTGTACGGGTTTCACTGCTGTTAGTACTGCCGGCTATAGTGCTGGCCTCGATAATATAACTGTATGATGTATGAGGCTTGCGTCCACGGTCAGTATATCTATATTTCCCTCGAGACGGTGTTTCAAACAGGCACGAACTAGTGGTATGACATATTGACACATTATCACGATATAAAGTATACCAGATAATTTCTCCATTAGGTATCGCTGGTTGTCTCCAGTTCACCTCAATAACACGAGCACTTCGTATTTGCAACTCAGGCGGATACACATTTTCAGGAGGGGCTTCTAAGGTGGTCACAAACCCGCGATCACCGTTAGTACACCCGACTTTCGTACACGCGGTAATAATGTAGGTATAGTTTGTATAAGGTCTTATATCACTGCTGTTATCAACATATACCATGTTATTACCCGGCCACTGCATGATAATATGCCCAGTATTATTGACTCTACTTATGTTGTATCCAGTTATTACCCCGTTAGGTCTGCCAGGTCTTTGCCATCTTATTTCAATACTGTACGCACTCAAAGCCCTCAACATCGGAGGGTAGACATTCTCCGGGGTTGATTCTCGTGTAGAAATCTTCCGGGAGCTGATATTCGCACAGAGTGTTGTGCAAACTTCGAGGATATAAAAATATCCGGTGATAGGCAAAACTCCGGTATCAAGGTAGGATAAGTTGAGCCCACGGTAGACGAGGGTTTTGGCAGTTGTGTTCAGGTCAACTCTAGTTAGTTGATACTTCGATATTATTCCGTTTAGTTTGGTGGGTGAGGTGAATACTACTTCAATAGATCTTGCTGAGCGGACTATGACATCAGGCGCAGCAAGGCCTTCTGGGGCGTCCATGAGTGTCTTGTTCTTTGAGTACGGACTGGAAACATTTCCTTCAGTGTTATAAACGACCAAGTAGTATTCATACTCTGTAAACGGTTCTAGGTTTTGATCATTGTGATGACGTAATGTGGCATTACCCGACACCACTTGCGTGAACGTGGAGCAATCTTGGGAGGGAGGGGTGGGTGGATTGGTGTGTAGTATCCTTGAGTGTAACCACAATGTAAGGAATTACGGAAATCACAACGGTTACACTTGGCTGTACTTAGAGATGCCTTGTTGCATACAGTGCCGTTACCACAGCCCTCCTCGTCTGCACAGACTTGTAAACTCGAGTTGAATCCACGATCGTTACAACAGCTCAGGCCAGCGGAGATACGGTTCATGCCACAACACACGTGATGTGAATCTTCTCTCTGTTTCACTGAGGTGTAGTTGTAGATCTGCAAGATGTAGAAGGAAAAGACGAAATGTTTTCATTGTTTCGCTAAGCTTCTATTTGGCAATGTTTCCTTATATAACCTCTGTGTTGCTATGAAGCCTGGTTGACACTATCAAAGTTTCTGTGATTACAGTAGGAATTTTTCATGGGTAAATTCTAAATTTTGAAGGATTTGTAAGAAATGTTTGAGGAAACTGACTTCATGTTAAACACCGAGTCATTTCCCTCAACTATGCAAAATTTCTACCTACTGTGATCACAGAAACGTTGTGTAGTGTAAGACAGGCTTAGGAATTTCAAAACCTACCTTCCAAGAGCCCGTTCCAGACTGACAGCATAAACTTGACACAGGAACATAATTATTTCCACAACACTTCTTCCCAGAATCCTCTGTGTACACGCGGCCCGACTCAGTCCCTCCGCAACATGTCTGAGCCAGTGATACCACCTGACCACCGCAACATTTCCTGATATTATCATTATACACTACACCACATACACAATACTTGGTGTTATTGTTATATGGTTGTCCATCACAACAAGCGTTTCCATCACCAACATGTATGGCACCACGGTTGTCTTGGCAACACACTCGACCCGGTTGTACCAGTCTATAGTTACCATGGCAACATTGGTAGTTTGTTGTTCTTGTGTAAAAACGTCCACCACAGCAGACATCGCTTGGTGATGCTTTTCTTTTATATTCATTGTCACAACATGTCTTTGCAAGATCTCTGTTGTGCAACACTCCATTACAGCATTCCTAAAAACATAAAATAATGAATAGGCGAGTTTCACTAACCACCACCGT